GATGAAACACCTGTTTCGGCATTTTAAGAAATTCTACCCCTAGAGGAGTGAAAGAGGGTTGCAATCTTTGTATGAGGAATACTTTATTTGTGGTAGGATTTGCTTCAAATTTGGTCTTAATGCTCTTTGATATAATTAATCAAACACCTATTACGGTTTTTTACAAAATTCAACCTCTGAAGGGGTGAAAAGGGGTTGCAACGTTTGGTCCGAACGTTCGTATTAAAGTTGCCTTATTTCCGTAAATGAATCTAGAAACTTCAGATTTAACATGCAAGTACGTAATTATTATCGTATCACCAAACCGTTGCAATGGTGCAAATACGCCTAAATATTAATTACGAAAATGGTATCAATTTTGAAATGTAAGATGGCGACATGGAATAAAATTAAAACTCTATAGAGGTGAATGGGGGCTTAAAAGGTTTTATGGAGAAACAATATCACAATAATGAGCGCTCGAGTTCCAAAATTAAAAATCGTTGGCTTCTTTGATACTACAATAACGTTGATAGAGCTGTATTATCTGACTCTCTGATGCCTCAACGTGTGCTCGTGTTGTTTACAGTTCTTGACGAGTGATAATCGAGAAAATCCAAAGCGATGGGGCACGAAAATCGAGCACAGGGAACACGGACGTACCTAACCCAAGCGCATCGTGCGCGCGTTCGAATCTATTATGGCAATCCGTGAACAATAACTCTTCCTCCACTCTCGGCATTTAATGGCCGTCCATCTATTTAACGTGAAGGAAGAGGAAGTGGCTGATGGGTAGATAGGTCGAGCGTTTTGTAACTAATTTCGCGAGTAAATTGTCCGTAACATTGGTTCGGTGCAGTACGACCAAACGTAACGACAACGAAACGGGGTTGCACGAGCAAACGCGCGAATCCCCTGGCCACGAGCCACAGAAAAATTAGCCTCGCGATCAGCCGGATAACAAAAACCTTCCACGCCTTTCGTAACCGAGATCAGGAATGTTTAATAACCTAATTGACACGGATATACATCGTTCGAAATATTGACCGGAAGTTCCACGTAAAACTAAATTTAAGAGCACCTATGTTCGCCCGATTATGCAAGCTCGCCTGCGTTTGATCGCCCAACAGGGCCATGTGCTCGTACAACGCGTCCAATGCGTGCAACGCGAGTAACTGCACACCCACCCACTGTCTCGCGATTCGTCGTGAGTCATAGCAAACGCCGCGACGCTCTAATGCGCGGAATAACACGGATCGCTGGATCCTCGAATCTTCCCTCGACGCTCTAACGGCCATTGTCACGTATACGTAACTTATTAACCCTGTACAAGACTCGTTATAAGTTCTTGATGTTAAGTTTCATCAAGCCTTGTATATTCACGAGGTACTCGTAAAACAAATCTATTCTTTCCAGTGGCCATTGTAGGAACAAATGTAAACAAAATTAAATACTATACGGGTAGGTTACACTTATCGAGTTGAAATTGGAGAAGCTGTCTTTTGTCGTTTCGTTCACTAATCTCGGTTCAATTATGTTAACACTAGATTTGACGGATGTCTGGTTCCATATTTAAAATTGCAGAACGCGTAAATATTATTTTTTAACAACCTATGTTGAGTTTGATCGATGCAATGCCACGAATACATATTCTATTTAAAAGAAAAATCGTATTTTAAGGTATCAATAAATATACGTGTGATCAATGCCCGTAGATCTAGCGTTAATAGCATCTGTCGTCCGCGATTTTTCATGGCTGCGAAGGGATGAAATATTTTTATATGTTTCTATACTTCGTACGAACTGAATAGAGTTGAATAAAATGAGAAAAGACGATGTAGGCACCCCAGGCGTACCGCGATCGGAAAATACGAGGTTAATAGTCGGTTGGGTGGCGGTAACGTAAACCGCGTGAGAGAGTTTCCCTCCGTGCAAACAAGATCGTCCTCGTATTTTAGCCAGACGAGCCGATCTCGGAGCCCAATGTTAATTGCGTTTGTTCTCCGTACGAACGTCCGAGCGAAATAATCGGTGGAACGGTAATCATACGCAGAACTGAAACGAAGGGCGGTGAACCGTGGAAATGGTTCGTCCGGTGGTTGCCGGGATGCCCTTTCTACCTGGCCACGATAATCGTGGATTTCCGTCCGCTTATTATCTTACGCGCGTCACAATGCGTTTAGATTGCGTCCAGGTAACGGGTAATTAGTGATCTGGTGCCATTATTTGTATCTGGTACTCATTGTACCTCGCGACGCGTCTTGAAATTTTCGTAATCGCGAATAGTAAAAATACTTTCCCGTCGAATTTGCGTAAGATCGATTTCTTGTAGTCGGCAAAAAGCGTTGTAAAAGTCCATGGTACCGCGCCCAGAGAACCAGGAACTCGAGATTAACGATTGGATGATCTTACGATCGCAAATCTAATAACGTCGACGTCCAAAGTTATTGAATTTTCGAGCAGTGTTTGCGCGAACTTCAATTAACGGTTGGTATCGATAACGGTATCAAAAAACTGGTTTCTTATTAGAGGCCACCATACGATATATCCATGGTCGCGATCGTAGAAAAAACCTACGGTGACGCGTGCTCGAAAGTCGATCCGCAAAAACGGACTCGACGATCGTTCTATATCGATAAGATTGAAGGTGGGGGGAAGGGAGAAAAAGAAGCTTTCGAATTTCAATTAGATTCGCTATCGAATACCGATCGACCCGACCGCGAAGAAGAACGCGTTAACGATTCCACGCAAAATTAATCGCTCGATCATCGGCTACCGGCTTATTATCGGGTCGTACGTCTTCAATTTCGTAATAAACTTCTTTTCTCACAAATTAATCCCTTTACCGATCGCGCGCGGTATAAATTAATCCTTTTTAGATCAAACTCGCCCTTCGAAATGATAAAATGATCTAAGAAACCTTGCCGTGGACGCGATTGCTTCCTACATAAAAAGTTTATGTAGGTTTCAAGTTATTCACATATATTCTCTATCCTTCACATAGGAAGCGATCGAGGCTTGCTCAAAATGGCTACCTTCGGGGCTGGATGCAACGGGGTTTCCCAATCTTTCAGAAGTTCCATCGTTGACGAAACGTTTCAACACTGGCATTGAGCATGGAATAAACAAACGCTCTCAAACGTCTTTAAACGTTAGAATTCAGCGAGTCTAACAACAAGCAGGAGCAACAGGTTCTGTCCTATTAAGAAATCGTTCGTGAATTATTTGGTTACTTAAAACATGGCGTAAACCAGAGTAGTTTGCATCGAACAACAGCTCGGTAGACTGACACAAGATTTACGATTTACGATTTACGTCAACGACACGTCGCCTTGTACTACATTTTTCTTAACCGATCAGGTATTTGACGGACTAATTGTCGTTTTCCTCGATAGCCAAACGTGTTTTCCGAACGGAGGATCTCGTTTCCCGGATTATGCAAGGCTTCTCGGTGTTTACGCGCGTAAAACGGAGAACAGCGAACGGATCCATAGATCCCCCATCGTTCGCGGTGGATTCCGATTTGTTGGAAAGCCACGGAGACAATATTCCACGAATACGCGATCGAGTGTGGGTGGGCACACACTCCGAGCCGGAGACAACGGTGCACGCGTGCGCGTCGTCCAAGTTCCTCCGTAAGGTGGAAAGGCGTGCGACGCGTGTCCCAGACGGACGGCGTATCAAAGGATATTTGCCCTGTCAACAACGCGGCTTTATGTGGAAACGCCGCTAAGTCTAGAAAGGGGAGAACGGCCGCACGGACCGAGATAATAGTAATGGGCATTATTACTTCGCTCTATTATTTTACGATCTAACGCTTCCCCGGAATCGATACGATATCTCGCTGTCTTTTTCCACGTGAACAATTGCATGTCCGCCGTACCAACGCGTGTGCCTCCGCCATGACAGTTGACGTCGCGGACCAACTCTAACGCGTCAATTTAAAAAATAGTGAACACTCGGTGACAGATATTTGCACGCATTATCTTCGTCTACAATTTACGCGAGTAAAAACACGGGAAAACTTGCGAAACAGCCAGCGAATAAAATTTAAGTAACTCACTGGCGGTGTTTATGTGATCCAAACGGGGCTAAGCGTATCAGCAGACCATATCATTATTATTTAGATCTCTGTTTTGTTAACTTTTAACAGAATTTTATAATCGAATGGCTCGGTGTACACACGCGTTAGTTTTCAATCGTAAGGATCCTCCGAATCGTGACCAACGTGGGTAATTTCCCGAATGCCTAATATTTAGAATTCGACCGCGTGCTGTGTAAATTTACTTGCGCGTCACGTAGGGCACGTGTCATAGGTCCGCCACCCCTGCATCAAACAAACACGCAACACAGTTCTTCGGGTACGTTTCCATATCTTTGAGAAACTGTCATTGCAAACGATGCAGACTGCAAGTTTACGAGCACTCGATGTTCCGTTGAGCTAAACTTATGACGCGACAACGTACGAACGGGTAATCGTTTTGCCCGTCGGCCAACGTTCGAGCCAGGTAATAGGAAGACCGCGATTAATGACTGTTTCCACGGTGAAATCATGCAGTGTCGCGGAATCGAACGATACACCGTAAGATCGTAAGACGGTGTTAGGTCATCGCGTAACGAGACTTTTTCCAAACACTCTGCAATAACGCGACGAACGAGGAAACGATGTAAGTACCTATTTATAAATCCGTTAGAGAATAATAACAGCGCGAATAGCTCCGGATCAACCCTCGACCAGCAGACTCAGGGTCGTGAAATTTTGGGTTTCCAACAGCTAGCTTGCAAAGGTAACAATTCAATTGGATCTTAGGCTAGTGCAAGTACAACCAAATGCGATAGGAACATTATGACTTTCTCAGTCGGTTCAGGGACGCTCTTCATGTTTTTGCTGCCAGACATCGTATCGTTGGCGTTTTCGCGTAGGGGGAACAAGTCACGTTACTCTTGACCCTTTGACTACTAGAATAACGGCCATTTTTCGCACACACGAAATAAAAATTTAATAGCAGACGAATGCTCACCTGCATCTGCAGCCAAGAGTAATCGATGTAGGTAGTGGTAGTGGCGGTGACAGCCCCGGCGACGCTGGAAGCGGATGAGATCTGCTGCCAGTTGTCCTGGCCGGTACAGCCGAGTACCGGCAATCCGTCGGGCTGACCCCGATCCGGCACTATCTGATCGGCATACTGATAGGGTGGCTGAATCGTCGGTTGTCCGCCGGAAGGCAAACTCGCTGGATGAGGGTGCTGGGCCCCCGAGCCGGCACTGGCGGGCAAGCAGCACACGCTCACGTCCATCCGTGGTGGCGGAGAGTCGTAGAAACGTTGCTGCTCCGGCTCTGGCTGCTCCCAAATCGACCTCCCAAGGGTTAACCCCCGCGGAACCATCCAATCTGCGACCGACACCCCCTTCGTGTACCTGTCACTCGGAATACGAGAACACCGATTTCGCCCACCGGGCCTTAACGACGATACTCTAGCCTCTTCTTCTTCCTCTTCTTACACCCCTCTTCGTCGATCCTTCCCAACGATCTATTCTCTCTCAGAGTCGACGCTATCGTCCGTAACCGTTTGAATTTCTAGATCGCGATTCCCAAAGACTCGGGCGTCGCTCTTTGGACTCTGTTCCGATCTCTCGACGAAATCCTGAATGATTTACCGCGATCATGCTCCGCGGTTTTCAAACTCGCCGTTCAGACGTATCGTTTGCCATCAACGAAACGCGAGACCATCTTTCACTTTTTTCTTTTTTTTTAGTACCTGTACGCCAATACCATCGCACTTCTCTCTTCCACCTTTCGACTTCGCGAGAACGAAAGAGATACGGGGGGTGGGGAGGACGAGCTTCTATTTTATCCGAAAACGGGAAACGGAAGTGCACACCGAGGGCAGCGAGTCGTCGGTTCGCGCGCCACGACCGAATTCCATGTTCCCGGGGCAACCGATTCCTCGCATAACTATGGGACCCGGTACGTTCCGCCTTAGAGGACGCGGCAGCCTTTGCGACGCTTCGTCCTGTTCTCCAGGACCAACTGGCCGAATCGATCCTCCCCGTTTTCGTTGGCTCTCATGCTTCCGGGCGAGGTACGGGCACACAGATGACGCGGTTGACCTGCCGCTGTCGATGCGACGCCAGGGTACAGCGGCAGGTTTCGCGACGACAGCCAGACATGGAACGTGATCGCGATCCAAACCGGGATTCACCGACGGCGAGCGTTCCTCCGGTTCCGCGGCGACACTTTGACGAGTTTCACACAATAGAAAATCGATAACAAGAGGGAACGAGGAACGGATTCGTCGTCAACGTCTGGTGTAGTCGCACTGATCGGCGATCGGAGTCCAGGCGGTTCGGTTCGTAAAATCACTGGCCGCGCGAAGAGGCACGGGACGATCGGTCGCGGCCAATCGACGAAAACTCCGATACGGTCGCGCCTTATCGCGAGCACCGTCGACGCATGACAACCGGACACTCTTAGCGGCGATACGCGAAACGCGCAGGAGGAAGAGGAAGAGGTGGAGAACGCGCCAGCTTGGAAGAGGGAGGACGAAGAGCAGGAGGTGGAGACGGTGGTGACGGTGGAGGTGGAGCCGTGGACGGAGACACCGAAAGTGGAGAAGCACGGAGCGGACGCGAAAAGGGTGGCTTTCGTACGAAAATACGGGCGGTAAACTTGTAAACTGTACGGGTATGAGACACGCATGGGATGGTAGTCGTCGGCTGAGCGCGAACAATGTTCTCGTCGGTGACAGCGCGCGCTCCCGTTAACGCGTCGTCGTTCTCCGTCTCTCTTTCCCGCCCGAGCAAACTCAACGGAGGCCGGGGAGGTGGAGAAGAAGAGAACGCGCGAAATAGCGAAGAGTAGTAGGAGTCGCGGGGGAGGCGAATAAGTATCGGGGGAGTAGATACGGTCGAGAGTGCCGACGGAGAACCAGCAACGGCGACAACGTCTGCGGCGGTAGCGACGGTGGTGGTGGTAGCGGTGGCGATGGTGGTGGTGACGACGACGCCGACGACGAAGGTGACGGCGCCGGTGGTGGTGGTTAGAACGTACGGTGGTAGGGTGGAGAAAAAGGTGGTAGTAGTGGTAAAAGGCGAGGGTGGCGAACGCAACTGGTGCTCGTGACGCGATCTAGTGCACCCGGTGTCGCGTACGCGCATGCGTGAACGCGTGTCGTCAAGGCAACGGTTCCGGAGTAACTGCCCGGTGAACGCAGCCCTCCACGGGACCGTACTCTTTTCGCTTCCTCGCTCCCTCTGTCTCTCTTACGCTATGCTCGCGTCTACTTCTGCCTTGTGCTTCTGGCTGGCTCACGCCCCGGGCGCGACCGATCCGAGCGGTCTAGGCGGCCATCAAGCACGCCCCCGTCTCGTCGCTTGCCCGTCTCTTTCACTCTCTACCCCTCTAACGCCCTCCCTGCTTCACCCGACATCTCCTCCTCCGCCTCCTTCTCTTTTCCACCTTCTGCCATTTCCTCCGCGATCCTCTCTCTCTCTCTCTCTCTCTCTCCTCGTATCGTTCTCCTTGTCTCCTCCGCGTCCTGATATCACGCTTTCTCTCTCGTCCCTCCGACGCCGCCAAGCTCTTTTCCTCTTTTCATCTCGCGCGCGCGCGCGTTCCCTCTCCTCTTCCGCGCTTTCGCTTCCTCCTCGTCCCTCCTCAAGGATCCGTTCACGATCTCAGTCTCCCTCCAGAGTACGATTATCGCCGAGAGCTATCGAGGGACTCCTACCACCGACGACTTTGGCACACTTCTCCTCGATCGTTGCTTCTCCTCTGCTTCTTTTTTCCTTACCTCTCGACACGATGTCGGGACGTGTCGTGCCTCAACCCCTTGGGTACTCTTTGCTGGAATTTAACGAACACCGACGTCCCAGCAAAGAGACGGCTCCCTTCTTTCCAATTTTCCTACTATTCGAACCGAAGATCGAAAACAATTAACCGTGGTTAACGTACCAATGCAATTTATTAATGAACAATGAAATAATTATAATATAAACCTATAATGCGCTGCCAGTTGTATTATCTTCTTCGTCGTTATCCATTTTCTTCAAGTCTTTCACAATTGACGTAGGAGAACCGATACTGAAATCACAAACAAAATTAATATTATCGTGAAAACTATTTTCCCAATAATATTCACAATAATTCAGATATACAACAGTTTAAAAGTTATTTTCAAAACCTTTCCAATCTCCTGATTCAAACCCTCCGTGCACCTCCGACGAGCTCGTTCCAACGCGATAAGGGAGGTTCCATTCTCCGCCATTCTATTATCGTTGCCACGGTGCATCGAAGGCTACTGGCAAAGAAAAAAAGAGTACATTAGTAAAGACAATACTGAAGTACAGTCATAATGGTGGATCGGTGATGACATGGGGTTGTACGACAGCAAACGGTCGCTGCGCCCTCGACTTTTGGCGGACCATTTGCAATTCGTGAATTTGAAAGTTTTACCGAATTACCGGTAAACACGACGGCCATCGAACCCGATTTCGCGTTCGATCGATCCTCCTCCGCGCCCGAAACACGCAACTACGCGCGACAGAGAGAGATCCTCCTGTTCTATCGAGTCCCGTTCTGCAACCGCGAGCCTCCGTCTCCGTCTTGTTCGCGAGATTTTCTTCTCCCGATCTTCCTCTTGGACAACGGGAACGGCCATAGCTATTCCGCCAACGCTCGTCTGACGTCACCCTACTACGACTAACGTCTCGTCTCTCGTTCCGCTCGCTATCACCCGCGCGGCGATCACTTTTTGCCGTCGATCGCTAAACATTCTGCGGCCGCGGTATCCGCGCGTTTTGGACCGGATAACAAATCGATCTGAAAAAAATGAACGAATAAACCACCGTTAACGCGTCGATTGCTACGGAGGTGGTCGATTACGACAAACAGAACCTTCGTGCTTGCCAGTTTTTTAACAAGTGCTCCATTCGATTGTCGAACAATTCTGTTCGTTGTAATTTGGAAAAATGTCGATATCCCTAGACAGGAAAACAAGCAAAAATAAAAGGTTACCGATATATCTTTGTTTTTTTTTATTTCGTTTTTTTTCGAAACGTTGATGGGATGAACGAAGCTTGATTCCGGTCGAATTCAGAGTGCATACAACGAATCCACGACGTGTACGTGTGTAATGTATGCGGCAACAAGCATCTCGAATCTCTCCCCTCCCACGGAGCCAGAGATTCCCTTTCTCTTTAGATTGTGAAACGATTTTCTATCGTGGCGCTTTAGCTTTGCGGATTTATTATATATGCAACGGGTTACGCAAATTACGACAAAGTGCAAATATTTCACATGACCTGCACCTGCATGACTCCCCTTTCTACGCGCGGATCATTTAAGCGAACGCGTGAATCGTAACGCGACGGTCTCACCGCGAATCTATGACCCCGTCTCGTCCCGTCACGACCCGACCCGCCCCACCAAACTCCCCCGCTGCCCTTTCGACGCGACCCTTTTCCGTTCCCATTCGCGAGCACCGAGCTTCCGAGACGCGCCACGGAAAAGGGTTTCTATTCATTCGAAACGCTATTACCACCATGAAACTTTGCGCACGAATAGGCGTCCCCTTTTACTCGAATTTGAAATTTTAACACCAGAACTACCAAACCAGTCAAAATGACCCATTCGTAATTTCTAATAAAACCTGTAACAAATTTGTAATTTTTCTATAAGAGACTGAATAAATACTTATTTCCATTGCATTATACATTTCTTCGCGAATAAACACACTATAGTTGTCGGTAGTTCTAGCGTTAAATACGGGAATTGGAAATACGACTTCTTTCCTTCGGCCAAAAAGAAGCGATTCTAGAACTTGTCGAAACGTACGAGCTCGTAAATGTTCGTGGACGGAATTGCGTACAGTGGCGACGCTTGCATCCGGCTCTGTGTAAACATTCGTATGATTTTTTCCCCCTGTAATTTATACGGAAGAAAAATATCTGATACGAGGGATGAAATAGAATTGCGATCGGAGTGGAGCAAAGGGAGAAACGTGTCAAAAGGCACTACGGTGGGGGTCGTGGAAGCAACTATTTAAGCAGTAGCTAGAATTCGAGTTGCATCACAGACACCCCCCTCCCCCCCACTATCAGGACGGAAGCAGCGCAACTTATGAATGGAAGTACTCGCCCATTGGTCGGCTTCGATAGCCAATGGCTGGCTGCTCACGGCCCTCTTTGCGCGATTCCGCGCGAGTTCGCCGCTGCGCGCAAATCCACGACAAAGATTCGCAGCTAGCGATAGACCGAAGACCACTCCAGGTACATACAATCGTCTTATTATCGGGTTAACAGCGTTAACGTTTCGTAAAACGGTCGAAGAAGAAGAAATTAGAACGATCGATCGTTCCATGTCATTTCGTCGAACGTATTATTTTACGATCGAATGCAAATATTGTATCGACACGTTGACTGCCGTTGGGGGTCACCGGTGGCCGGCACTCGACTTGGTTGCAGCGCCACCGGTGACCGGCGACGCGAACAATAGTAAAAATACGCAGCGCCATGGGCGAACCGCGTAAAATGCGCGCGGCGGTCAACGCGTTAATTAACTTCGAACCGTTCGATTAAGACGATTACAAAATGCACGCGAACCTAAAGAGTCGTTGGATAATCCTGAAAATTCGATGTGACATAATAAAATAAGGTTGCACGAATTCCATGACGATCGTTTCATGCGTGTCTTTTTGGTCGATGATCGGATCGGCGAATAAAATTATCGTCTTTAATTGTCGCGTGTATCGGGTCAGTACGATGGCATAATAATAAGGCAAAAAGCGAACAAGAGTGAGAGAAGGCGGATAGAGGGAACGGAGAGGAATTAGCATAATGATAGGTGCGAGTGTAGCTTTACCGTCTTCTTTCGAATTGTAAATGCGATACCCGGTACATCTTTAATTATATCTACCATTACGATATCTGAATCATACGTATGGTGTAACCACGCGCGCTGATTCACTTGTCCGTTGGACGGGTTTCGCGTTACAATCGAATATATCGCACTCGTTTAGATTCGGCATTGTTCGACGACAAAAACTAGAATCGAATCGAGTGAAAAAAATACATACGAAGATATTGTGCCATCCTAGCGACAATAAAATGATTCATCGAGTTTAAATTTACGCGCGATGTTTTAAAATATCCGTGACGAGTTGATACGTCATCCCCGATTAATGGATTAATATGTGTACAGGGTGTTCTGCCACCCCTGGGACAAATTTTAACGAGGGATTCTAGAGGCCAAAATAAGACGAAAATCAGGAATACCAATTTGTTGATGGAGGCTTCGTTAAAAAGTTATTAACAATTAAATTCAAAAATTTCAAATCGTTCTGGAAAAAATTATTTTCGGTTGCGGGGGCCAATTACAATCATTTTTGGTCATTAGACATACTCTCGAAATCCTACCCACTTTCGAGAAAAAAATTCGAGGTGTGAAATTTTTCGAGAAAAATAAAAATTTTCAAATCGTTCTAAAAAAATTATGATTAGCTGCAGGGGTCAATTACAATAATTTTTGCTTAATAGGCATACCCTCGAAATCCTACCCACTTTCGAGAAAAAAATTCGAGAAGTTGTGAAATTTTTCGACAAAATTAAAAATTTTCAAATCGTTCTAAAAAAATTATGATTAGCTGCAGGGGTAAATTACAATAATTTTTGCTTAATAGGCATACCCTCGAAATCCTACCCACTTTCGAGAAAAAAATTCGAGAAGGTGTGAAACTTTTCGACAAAATTAAAAATTTTCAAATCGTTCTAAAAAAATTATTTTTAGTTGTAGGGTTCAGTTACAATCATTTTTGGTCATTAGACATACTCTCGAAATCCTACCCACATTCGAGAAAAAAATTCGAGAAGGTGTGAAATTTTCCGACAAAATTAAAAATTTTCAAATCGTTCTAAAAAAATTATTTTTAGTTGTAGGGTTCAATTACAATTATTTTTGGTCAACAGACATACCCCCGAAATCCTACCCACTTTCTAGAAAAAAATTCGAGAATGTGTGAAATTTTTCGAAGGGAAAAAAAATTTCAAATCGTTCTGGAAAAATTATTTTCAGTTGCGGGGGTCAATTACAATCATTTTTGGTGAATGGACATACCCGCGAAATCCTGCGCATTTACGAGAAAAAAATTCAGTACGGACGGAACTTTAACCGTTAATAATTGTTTAACAAAGCCTCCATCAACAAATTGGTATTCTTGTTTTTCGTCTTATTTTGGCCTATAGAGTACCCCATTAAAATTTTTCCCAGGGGTGGCCGAACACCCTGTATACTACTGGTAGAAAATAAGGATACTTGCAGCTAATCGTAAATCCGAAGTAAAAATAGTCCATACAGTCGTCTGTTCGAGAACGTTGAACACAACGATGGCAAAAGTAATTTTCTTTTTTACTAAAAAAAAAAAAGAAATATGTATCCATTATTTGATAGTTTGAAAGAACGGTTATTCGAGATAAATGTATAATGCAAACGATGGTATTTAGTTCGGACATACATTGACAAATAAAAATAACGATGGCTCTGACCGAACAGAATATCAGGATCAGAACTCGGCATTACGCGTGCCTACGCGAACAGGAAAGAATAATTGTAAGAACGTACATGCCGATTCAATTGCCGATAGGAGAATGTAGCAAATACCAAACAGCAATTATTAGCCAGCAAACGTACATTAAGTATAGGGAAGAGATGTCGGCAACAGTATTATGAGAGGGAAGTGAAATTCTCTTGGGCACGCCAAGGTGATCGTAAGATGACACCATAGCTGTCACAACACATACATATAACATTGCACATTTGTGAACCGTACTCTATCGTGCAAATCTGCATTAAATGCTCCCCTATTTTTTAGCTACTACCTTCTCGTTCGACCTATTTTTTTTTGTCACGATACAATCGAGTAAAGATTTTTATTTCGATAAATACTTCAAATATTCACCGACGGCACAACCCCAAAAAGCTCGCCGCGAATACTCGCTGCGTAAACGTACAGTCAGAGCGAGCAAATAACAGCGAGAATGAGTGAGATACAGTTAGGTCGCGTATCCACTTGCTGCGCAGACGCGAGTCGCGGTGAATACTAACTGTACCCCACTCAGACTGAATGTTCCCAATTCCTTCCGACTATATTTGTACGCAACGTGCATTCGCAACGAACGACTAACGACTGCGCGACATTACTTTCTTATTGTTAACAAAAATAACTTCAATAGACACAGTATTTCAAAGTAATTATTTCACACTCCTGTGTATTCCTACGCTAATAGAACGAGGAAAGTTTTTACCGATGCAATTACTTCGATTTACTTACGCTTTAATATTAACGATAAATATACGCAATGAAAATGTAGTAATAACATATATTACTAGATTTTATACCACATTAAATTATCTTCGAAATTTATTATAGATAACACAGTACAATATATAAACACTTTGTATCCAAATTCTAAAGACATTGTATATTCATTGAACTCATACCATTTATTTCAATCCCAAATGCTCTCCTTGGTCTCCGATCTAGAAAATGTATCTTCTTCTAACTCTTCGTCTCGTTTCGGCTTCTCTTTAACCACGTGCGTGTAACTAGAAATTAAATTTAACCTATTGACTCAAAGGGCATTTCTTTGTATTATACGATCAAAATTTGATGTATAGCGACCCAAGATTTAAGTAATTTTTCTAAAAAAAAAAAAGTATCTTTTTTTTATTTAATCGCTCAAAATAAACTGTACCCATGTTTTTTATTGTATTCTGCTCTATGTATCTTCCTTAAACTATCATAAGTTATATACTGTTTAGGAGTACGTGTCTTCTCTGTCGATAACTCTTCTCCAAATTTGTTAGTCGTGTCATCAAATTGATTGCCTTGAAACAAAATTAATAAATCGAATGGTTAGTTCAATTTTTGGTTTCTTATAATATGGACTTACTATTGTCAAAAGTATCATTAATGCTCCACGCTGGTTCCTGTTCTGTCAAATCTTCAGAAGATTCAACAAACTGTCTTTCTTGATCAAACTGTCTTTCTTGATCAAAGCTATCATGTAATGTGATTCTTAATGTACATTAAATCATTTTATAAACAACAAAAAGACATTGTACTCGTTGAATAAGTAATACCTTTTGTTAGGCTCCACCCCGAACTTTAGTATTTTTGCCACGTGAGGTGCATGTTTTTCTAAACACGCGACAGAATACTGCACTTTTCCTATTCCATATCCTAGTAAACTCATAATACTTATCAATATTTTCCTTGACTTTTTAAGATTAGTTATTTCAGTAACCGCATACGTGAAACATGCGGATCCCAATGCCATAGGTATAGCGCACTTAAAAACTGCATCTGTACGCATACACTTCCAATAGGCCTCCTTAGTATCCGGTGGTAAATTCTGAAACTGCAATTTAACAATAATTGTTAAATCGAATTCGAAACAGTTTCAGTTTTGTATCGCAATACAATGTAACATTGTTACTGATATAATGTTATAACTTTATAATTTTACCGGTAAGAAAATCGCACGTAATTCGAATTAATTTTAAATATAATAACTTACCGCTTCATTCATGTCTTCGACCATTTTCACTCTCTTTTCTGGATCCAAAGCTGGTACCATCTTATACAAATTCAAAGAATTGATCCCACCCGATACGTGATATATAATAATATTACTACAACGTTCTGAATCCTCGCAAATGCGGCATATAACCTAGAACAATGCAGAGCTGTAACACTAGCACCTCTGGCGAATGTAGTGTCAACTATTTTCCAGAATCTAAACAGCGCGTATTTTAAACGTCGATTTTCATTTAATAAAGCAGACAGATCAATTTACGCTTACATAGAATAATTAAAATAGAGTTATCGCTATTACAAGGTGTACAGAAATGTCGAGTTATATTATTATATAAACCATAATCGTAACTGATATACACCAGAACCTTTTTTATTCATTATTATTACGCTATGATTTCAGTCCCTATGACTTGTATAATTGATAAATTATTTTCAACCTGTAGAAATAAGAAAGAAAGAGAGCGTTGAGAGAAAATGTAATGCAATAAATTATTTTCACTGGAAACATTAATATTAAAAATATTTCACGTCTACAATCAATTAAAATACCATCACTAATTTCTAATCTCGAATCTTAATCAGACTTAATTGAATTGTTCAATAAAAAAAAATCTCAACTGTTTTTAAAAGAGTAGATTTACTAAAAATTATTGAAAGTAGAATATTTTCACGTAATAACAGCTTGTCGTGTATGTAAAACAATGCATAAAATTAAATATCAACAAATAATCTTAAATTAAAGTAAACATTATAACGACTTCTAATTTTGTCTCGTATCGCTTTGCAAAAATATTTATTTATGTTCTCTGGCAATTTAAAAATAGCCTTCCAAATGTTCGCACTCTTCTGTTTTAAAATATGTATACATATACCTATAACATGAGTCGCATAAAGCACTTTAATCGCATCTATGTGCTAATTTAATAAGTACAGAAGCTTATATTACATTGCAGCTTCTCAGAAAAATATTCCATGCACTTTGTTCTGGTTAGACATACATCATACTAACTATTATTAAAATGTAAAATATATTTGAGAAATTATTAATTCAATCACTGTATAATATTTAAATATATATTTATACTTATTTATACAAAACATTGGAAACCTAAATTGTATTTTATTTAAGAATTTAATTCCGATGTTTCTATCAACTATCAAATAGTTTAGAACTTTTCAAAGTACATTTTATGTACAAGTTATGTTCATTAAATTTTACATTTTATATCTTGTTGCAATATCCCGTATGCATTGATTGCTAAGACTTCCTTCTTGCAAATTTTCCATTCCCACTTATGAACAAGATGAAAATATATATAATGACATACGTTGTACCTATAAGTTAAAAAGGGGGAGTGGTGCTAATAAAGCAGCACCATCTGCTATAAAAGACGCCACTTGGAAATGTGAAGTACTGCTAAAAATGTTGTGTAACAGTAAAATTGAACAAGATTTTAAAACTTCTCGAGTGATTTACTCGATATTGATTCTATCATATCTATCGGTGCAATTAAGTGTAACATTACCTGTGTCCGATACAGATTATAGTACAACATCTACAATGTTAATGAACAATTCGACGAATAGTTCAGCCGATGACAATTTGTAAGAAAACTATAATTTTTGTCAAGGAGCAACAGTTTCAACAGTTGTATGTATTACAATGTCAGATTATCTAATTTAAAAAATTTGCCTTCGTATTACAGATACGTCATAAAAGCAGTGGTATATGAAATTGGTATTCTAACAGATGCAAATGAAACAAACGACGACGCTACAGAAAGGTAATATACAACTTTATCTCTTATATCTGCAGATTATGCATTAAAATTTGATAATATAAATTATATAATTCAAACAGCACAATAACAAAATTCACATACAAGAAACCTAAAACAATAATATTAAACAAGAGTATCTTATTTATTGATCTGTAGTATGAATTTTTATTTTTTAATAGAATTGAAAATATAAATTCTTTTTCTATTTTACTTTTCCCATAGGCAAGATGTTAAACTATCGTTCTACAATCCACCAAATCAAAGCAAAGTGTCTTAGAAAAAGATTCAGATACGTGTACCTGACATTTAACATGCTTCAATATAGCCATCCATGAAATATCGATAGTGTAAATGCGCAATGATGTAAAATTAAATAATAAAAGATTGTAATAGAATATAAGCAAAGTCTATAACGAACATGTATTAAATTAGAAATTAAATTACCTAAGCATTATTTAAATTGGCATCGAATGTAAATTTAAACGAGTACAATACAAAAATGTAACTATTCATTGTAAATAAACTCTCATTTTTAAATTAAAAATATAATTACACTATTGTAAGAAGATGCTATTAATATATGTAATGTAGCATAAAAAGGTCTATATTTTCAAAGAAATTAGGTATTATATTTGCGTTTATTTAACATGCATTTATATATAAAATATATATATTGCTTTGTTAATAATCGATTTTGAATGCCTTACTGTAGAAATATAGCACAGAACAAAAATTGATATTTATGCGTTGAATTTATAAAATTATCTGGATACTCGGTAATGCCTTGAATAATCAAGGGTATTGAAAAAAAAAGAGAAAGATCAGTGTTGCAAGTAATTGCGATTTGTATTAGGTATTTTAGTCAATGGCTACAATTATGTAAAATCTACTGAACACTGTTCTCATTCCCGTTAAAAATGTTACGATTCTTACAATATATCGTATCTATAAAATTCGACTTACGTGAATGCCTCTGTAACGAATTTACCGCAGTTAAAAACTCTTGTACATCACACAGTCTAATTGTAATAAGTAATAATTAATAATTTTTATTTTTGAAAGGTTAAGAACACGATGTATATTTGTAGACAGTATCCTGTCGTATTTTAATAAATATGCATTCTTCAAAAACGTTTTCCCTTATCGTGTCTCTTCAACTTTATTTACATTATCTTTTAATTACAAACTGTCTGTGATTATGCCATATCCTTTATGCCGGCAAATTTTTTACCGCGAATTTCTACCGCGCAATTTTACCGCGCAATTTCACCGCGTAATTTTACGCGTAATTTTACGTTAAAAATGTTACCACGATCTTCATAACTTGCATTGATGTTCCCTTCTTCTTACAATACATAGTATTTATATAATCGGACTTACGTGAAAACCTCTGTAACGAATTTACCGCAATTAAGAAGAATATGACACGTCAAAGCATCCTCACCTTCTCAAAAAAAAAAAAACTCCAAATTCCTAATTGTCGTGTAACAGAAATACCAAGTAGCATAAGCACTGTATTTGTTATAGGTTATCAAGTCAATAAATTACTGTTGATAAAAGTAAACGAATCGGTCAAAGTCGTATGCAGTTTGCCGGCAACTCGATCGGAGGTATTTTAAAAAACGACAAAGAAAAACTTACATTCAGTTTCTTTCTCGAATCCCCGAAGCTATCCGGAACTCCGCGTTCACGAACACGTGTTTGTGCATCAGCGTATGTAAAGGAAATGCAGTTTCTATTTTCCTCGTGGAATCAGTTACCGGTGTTTGTTTTTACATGTTTTCTCGAGGTTTCTTTAGAATCGAGGAAGCCCACGTGTACGTCTAACATGCATTACACATTATCGTACAATAAACAATGAATTCAAGGAATTACGTAAATATGACTGTAACTATTTATTCAAGAGATCTGTAATAATTAGTTACTTTTATGTTTTAAAATGTATCTTAAGTTATTTGTACGAATTTCGGCACAAAAGAGGAAGCAACAAATTAGAGGCTACCTTCATAAGCGTAATATTCATCTGGACACCAACGAGCCTGTAAATAATGTGTCTGTGTCACATTTAAAACATTGTTTCAAACAAGTATGTTTACCCGTAATAGATGGACATACATGTATTATAGTAGATTGTCCTATATGCAACAATCTAAAGAAAGAATCAAAGCTTTACGTAAATAAAACAACAGGTCAATAAGATTCTTAAATAGCTGTTATAAAAATAATTTTGCGTTAAAATATAAAGTTAAGAATTTTGATTAATTATAAGATTATAATTGTAGGGTACTTTATGTGCGATAAATGTAAATTTACTGGTTCCTGGGACATACTAGACAAACTTTTATCTAGAGGGAAATCAAATGAAAAATTCAAGGAACTAGATGCGTTAAAAGCACATTCACAATGGGAAGATTTTGATAATAAATGGGAAGATATAAAGAAAAGCTGCCGAAATATCAAGGACCTGACCATGGAGGAATATGAAATGCTTCTCAACAATTTTTCGTTTCCAGTAAGGAAATAAATAAAATTATCAAATTCTTTATTTACAACGCAATTTTTAAACGCAATCATTATTACAGCATATTTCGCAAGAAGATATGAGCCAATTGAACTGTATTTACGAAAAGACATCCGATATATTATATTTTCCGTTAATAGGGCTAAACAATTCTATTGTTGGATATAAATCCCTTACACCCGGCGCAACGACAGAGCAAACAGTTCCTACATCCGGGGTCAGTGGATGCATTAAATACAAACACAAAAATAGTAAAAATGATAATACTGCTGTGATTGTAGGAACCATAGATGATTTGCTAGCCGTGGCGTCGCAGAAATCAACAAATGTAATTATCTGTCTTCCCTACAATTTAAAAAGTCTACCCCAACAACTACTACCATACATGGAATCCTACAAGAAATTGATTTTATGGTTTGGAAATGATGAAATAAGTTGGTATACTGCTAGACAATTTGCGAAAAAATTAGGTGAAAAACGATGTTATTTCGTGAGACCGACAAATTTCCAACCTCGGCCAAAGTTAGCTGCTGATATGGGCTACGACTTGAAAAATATTATTAAAAATGCTCAGTCTGTATGGCATCAATCTATAACTACCTTTCAAGAACTCAGGGAAGAAGTATTAAGCGATTTACAGAATATTGATAAAGTACAAGGTGTGAAATGGAAGAGATATCCAGCTCTAAATCGTATACTGAAGGGTCACAGAAGAGGAGAATACACAATACTAACGGGGCCAACGGGTAATGAAAATTTAATATGATTTTTATGCAGTAGATTTTTAATATTAAAATTATAAATACCAATTTTTTTTTATTAGGATGTGGTAAAACAACTTTTATGAGCGAGTATTCTTTAGATTTAGCGATGCAAGGTGTCAATACCTTATGGGGTAGCTTTGAGATAAGGAATTCACGATTAGCAAGAACAATGTTGCAACAAATGGTGGGGGTACCTTTGGACGAGCATCTTGAACATTTTGATTCATATGCGGATGCCTTTGAAAAATTACCAATTTATTTTATGACATTTCATGGCCAACAAAGTATTAAAGTAGTGATGGATGTAGGTATATACTTAAGTGCACTATATTTTTATTTAAAACATCGGTAAAGCAAATTCTCTATTTTGCTATCAGCGATATAGTGTTTTTTGGATGACGTAAAAAGAGAATCGAGAAATAAAATATAAAACAATGGTATTTTTTTTGCAGGCAGTTGAGCATGCAACTTATGTTCATGATATAGCTCATGTAGTAATTGACAATGTCCAGTTCATGATGGGAACATCAGAGGATACTAAACATTTAGACAGGTATTGAAACAATCATGCGCAAAATCTTTTAAGCAGAATAATAGCGTTGTATTCTAGATTCTGGAAACAAGATGATATAATTGCGAGATTCCGAAATTTTGCCACCAAGAACAATTGTCACGTAACAATGATAATACATCCGAGAAAAGAGCGTTTCGAAGGAGAATTAACAACTTCCTCAATTTTTGGAAGCGCCAAAGCGAGTCAGGAAGCAGATAACGTGCTTATTATTCAAGATAAAAGACTTCAGTCTATCCGAGGCAAAAAATATTTACAAGTATGCATATAAGAAAAAAGCAATATTAACAATTGATTAAGTATACGACTTGGAATTAATTACTTAGAAAATTTATATTTATGTATACAGGTGGCCAAGAATAGATATAGCGGAGATTTGGGTATCATGATATTAGAGTTTGAAAAATCTAGTCTTAGTTATTCCTCAAAACTGAAACCAAAAGATGGAAGTACCGAGAAAGGAAAATCCTCAACAAAAACACAAGTAACAGAGTGAAGCAGTTGGAATACACATATATTGTAAAATAATTCAGAAATTGTATATGTGACAAACATTATTTTGTTAAGTTTTATATTTGTAACGGTTGTAAGAAAAAATAAATTGTACCAAAATTTATTTATAAATGGATAGGGAAATACTTTATATTGATTAAATAAAGTAAAGTTTTACAATTGTCGCGTGAAATTAAATATTTAAATGATCGTAAATCGTTGTCATTAGCAAAGGTAGTTTACTATTATACCGACTACATGCTCTTTTAACGTGGGTGGTAAAATTTGATCAGGAAAGACAAAGTAATAAACGACACAGTGAAGGCAAGAATAAACGTGTACACACTTATTTAATCAATTAATGTTTCCTGTATACTTTTTATCGTGATCGATTAATAACGGTTAAACCACGAAAAAGATAAGAAACGAATAACGTAAGAAATGAGATTAGGGAATATTGTTCTCGTACCTTTTATTCTGTTTATTACGTTTCCGGTGACTAGCAACAGTGATACGAAGAAACCAACAGTGTTCGTAACAATTTTAGTTCGAAATAAAGCACATACGTTACCATATTTCTTAACCTTTTTGGAACAATTGAATTATCCTAAAGATCGAATATATCTGTGGTAAGTGTATCCAGCATAACCTCACTTTTGCAGCGAATTCGTGCAATGAGTAATTGTTAATGTAGAATAAACTGTTTCGAAAGTACATTTCTCGTGACTAACCGGAAGAATAAAGATATAAAGTAAGAACATCAGTCGTAATTGTAATGAGTAATAATTCATAATTATTAAAAGGTTAAGAACACGATGTATATTTGTAGATCCTGTCGTATTTTAATAAATATTTTCCATTATTCAAAAACGTTTCCTCTTATCGAGTCTTTACAACTTCATTGACATTACCTTTTAATTACAAATTGTCTGTGATTATGCCGGCAAATTTGCCCGCGAATTTTTACCCGCGTAATTTTACCGCGAATAGATGTTCATCTTTGAATGTTAGTAAAATGTTCATTTCTCGTTGAAAAAATATGTTTCGCTCTCTTTAAGGATACACAGTGACAACAATATTGATAACTCGATCGAAATATTATCTACATGGTTGGAGAGTAAGGGTAACGAGTATCACGGAATTGAAATAAACTTCGATAAAGAATCGAACGGATTCAAGGATGAAAATGGAATTGCCGATTGGTCGACGCAAAGATTTCTACACGTAATAAATTTACGCGAAAGGGGTCTTAACGCGGGAAGCAATATGTGGGCAGATTTTGTTTGGGTATGTACATTATGGGACAAAATTTTAGCCCATTTATTGATTTACTTACCCAACGTAATCCTAAACAGATGCTTCTTACAAGCTGTCCTTACGAATAACTTTCCGAATCTCACCGCCGACATTACGCGCCAATATATATGTATATGTGTATATCCGCATCCCATAATTTTTGCAGCAAATTGTTCCATCTCTCGACGATAATTAATTATAATTTTGCTACCTAAATTTTTTATTAAATTTTAGATGCTCGACGCAGATATTTTTCTGACAAATCCGAATACTCTCGACGAGCTGATTTCAAAAAATTTAACCGTCGTTGCACCGTTACTCAAATCCGACGGATTGTACAGCAATTTTTGGGCGGGAATGAACAGCAATTATTACTATCTCAGAACAGACAGATATGACCAGATCCTGTTCCGGGAGGAGACCGGATGTTTTGATGTACCTATGATTTATAGCGCGGTTCTTATAGATCTAAGAAAATACGCTTCCGATGGATTGACCTACGATCCAAATAATTTGGATCAATACGACGGCCCTGTAGACGATATTATAACTTTTGCCATCAGTGCCAAAAAATTTGGTAAATCAATGTTAGAGCTTCGACGACTTTTTTTTGCTTTACACTTTTCCTAATAAAAAACTTCCGTGTTCTCGACAGACGTGCCATTGTTTATTTGCAATAACAATATTTATGGATTTGTTATGATTCCTTTAGAAGAGGGAGGAACAATTGCAGAGGATCTGCAATCCCTGACCAATATCAAAACAGAGATATTGGGTAAGTTAAACCGATACAACAAGGGATAAAATTATATTAAAACTTTGTAATAGGACTTTGTACATATGTTTCGTAACATGAATTGTATTCTTTTAGCAAACAGTAATTACCTTCCATTGTCGACGTGTCTTGAACAATTTGTGCAATACCCTGTCGCGGATACACTACATGTAGATAATATTTATATGATAAATCTTTTAAGAAGGCCAGAGAGACGCGATAGAATGTATCGTCTTTTTAAAGAAATTGGTATTCGAGCGGAAACTATCGATGCCATTGACGGTAGGTAAGTTGTATATGTATAATGGATACGCATAATGGATAGACAATGTCGCGAGTAACAATATTTTAATGAAACTAAACGTGTTGTATTTATTTAGTTCATTGAACCAATCTGTACTGAACACCGTGGGAATAGAAATGATGTCAGAATATGCTGATCCTTATCACGATCGGTAAGTACAACAGAAGATGAATGTGATTTAAACGATTAATAATAAGAAGAAAAATGTCGGCAGGCCAATGACTATGGGAGAAGTCGGATGTTTCTTAAGTCATTACACTGTCTGGAACAAGGTAATTATTAAATTGGAGAAATGAATCAGTTTGGTCAAATCTTTTTCTTTCCCAGTAAAATTACATTAGTCCGATATATTGCAAAATTATAAATTGTACTAAGCGACTGATAATTTGCTAGGTATTAGAAAATGATTACGAAAAAGTCATTGTCTTGGAAGACGACGTTCGTTTTGAACCGTTTTTTAGACAAAAAGTAAATTATATTTTAACAGAACTCGATAATCTTAAACTTGATTGGGATTTGGTGTGAGTAAAACATTCTATCGGTGAATTTAATATTTTAAAACTGCGGTGAACGTAATATTTTCTAACAGGTATTTGGGAAGAAAAAAATTAGAAGAAACTGAATCTGCGGTCTTAGGATCAAAAAATTTGGTTCGTGCAGCCTATAGTTATTGGACATTGGGATACATTTTGTCGGCAAAAGGTGCAAGAAAACTTGTAGAAGCAAAACCATTGAAAAAATTAATACCCGTTGATGAGTATCTTCCTATACTGTCCGACGCTCATCCTAGGTAAATACGTACCGAGAATAACAAAACTCTTTGACGTACAAGTTTTTCAAGAACATTTTGTCTATATAGGGAAGATTGGAAAGCACACTATCCAGAACGAAATTTGATAATACTGTCTACAAATCCTTTACTAATTTATCCGACGCATTATACGGGCGAAGATGGTTACATCAGCGATACAGAAAATTCTAAGATTGTATTCGATGCCAATGACAAAAGTAACTCGAACAAACGAGAGGAACTATAAGCACCGTACGATCTGTACATATGCAAGTTGAGAAAAAAGATATTTAACTAGTCTCTTTACTCAAACTAATATATTAAATCTTTTAGTTCGTAACATAATTTACCGCCATGCAAACATGCCATATACATTATTAGAATTTCAATAGTATAGAAAATAACAGATATTGAACCGAAGAAAGAGATTTTGTATATTTTCTTATTATTCTTTTATAATTATATATTGATATTGTTTCAGAAGTATCTCTAACAATATATTTTACATTGACGATCCTAACTCCCTATCTTATTTTTCTACGATACAGCAAACTTAATTCACCATCTAACCTCTAATGAAATACAGTAATACCTTGCTAATGTTCTGTCCCAGTTGGTGTAGCTAGATTTGGCATAATCGGGTGCATCGAAAAGACATTTTTGTTTTCATCGTGGTGTTTTGGTTATAAAAATACCTGGGCAGTCGAGATTCGTAATTGTATGCTATTGACGCGTGAACAGACTTCAGCTGTTCGAGATGAAGAAGGAAAGGCTCGCACTTGCCTTCTTTCTCGATTCCCCGAAAAAAACATGGCTCGTACGATAGGATATGTCAGCAGTCGGCTTTCGCCATCACTCTGTCGGATGCCAAGGAAGTTCGTTGTTACTAGTGTCGCCGTCGATGCACTCAATTATGACAAATCTGGCTACACTGATCCAGAGCACCGGAGTTCACGTATACGTGCTGTGCGCAAGTGGTGGGGGCAGTTTTCTCCGGGCACCGAACCGCCATCTAGTAACTGCTGTACGAGACTACACGTCTTACAGTGTGTTTCTGCTTTATATCAGTAAGCGAGGTGTGGTTTATCGAAACTAGCAAGAACTGAATTTGAGTGTCAATTGTTGTTAAAATAAAACGAATAGAACAAAATGCTCGGCCGTCTTCCCGCGTGTGTAATTGACGTAGGCACAGGGTAAGTGTATTTTGAATTTAAAATTTATTTACCCCCGGCGAAAATAAATAGGCTAGGATGTGACTCATGATACATGACATTTTATGCGTCAGATAAACACTGACATAATGCTGAATTTTTCGTATTTATTCAGTGTCACTGATTGCAGCTTTCTTTCACGTTCGACCACTGTAGAAACAGCACACTTAAACAATGCTCGACATAAATTTCGTGGATATCGATAAAAATATAAAATTTAGATATATCGATTAATATTTTCGATCGATTTACAGTGAAAATGTAACATTATTTTAAAATCAGTAACGAGCCTCTCAGAATTTTAGAAAAAAGAAACAGCCGTACAAGAATCCAGCAAGTTTTGTGTATTATGAGTTTTTTTCTGTTTATTTGTATCTTTTTTAATAAAGAAATAAATTATAATCGTTTATGTCTTTATAGCTACACAAAGCTGGGCTTTGCTGGCAATAAAGAGCCTCAGCTTATGATACCATCTGCAATTGCTATTAAAGAAACAGCAAAAGTTGGAGATAGCAATGCCAGGAGGATCACCAAAGGTGTCGAAGATTTAGACGCTTACATTGGGGATGAAGCTTTTGAAGCCACTGGATATTCTGTAAAAGTATGTATTATCAAATATCTACGAGACATATGATACTGACATTTATCGGTGAACTGTTTTTTACTTGTAACAAATTTCAATTTTGTTTAGTATCCAGTTAGACACGGGCTAGTAGAAGATTGGGATCTGATGGAAAAATTCCTGCAACAATGCATTTTTAAGTACCTCAGGGCAGAGCCTGAGGATCATTACTTTTTACTTACAGAACCGCCGTTAAACACTCCTGAAAATCGAGAATACACTGCAGAGATAATGTTTGAATCGTTCAATGTACCAGGTCTCTATATCGGAGTACAAGCTATGTTGGCAATAGCTGCCTCCTGGGCAACTAAAAGTGTAGAAGACAGAACGTTAACGGGTGTTGTTGTCGATAGCGGAGATGGAGTAACGCACGTAATTCCAGTTGTAAGTACAAAGAAAAAACTGAAATTAAAAAGAAAACATAAAATAGAAATTCACGTGGAATAATATTCAATTCGCGTTATCTCCTAGGCAGAAGGTTTTGTCATTGGAAGCTGTATAAAACACATTCCTATTGCTGGACGTGACATTACATATTTTATACAAAGTTTATTAAGAGAACGCGAAATCGGAATACCGCCTGAACAATCGTTAGAAACAGCTAAAGCGATAAAAGAAAAGTATTGTTACATATGTCCAGATATATCAAAAGAGTTCGCTAAATACGATAGCGATCCTACTAAGATAAAAAAATATGAAGGTATCAACAGTATTACCAAGCAGCCTTTCGCTGTGGACGTTGGATACGAAAGATTTCTTGGACCGGAGATATTTTTTCATCCAGAAGTATATCCATTTAAATTTAAACTTACATTCAAATAATTCTATCGTTACACTTAATTACACGTTTTATTGCATTTTTTTTTAGTTCTCTAATCCAGATTTTACGACACCCCTGAGCGAAATCGTGAACGACGTGATACAAAATTGCCCGATAGACGTTAGGAGACCGTTGTACAATAATATTGTATTGTCGGGTGGTTCTACGATGTTCAAAGACTTTGGTAGACGATTACAACGTGATATAAAACGAATTGTCGATGCGCGTCTTAAACTTAGCGAAACATTAAGTGGAAGTCATATTACGGTAATACATATTTCGTTATCGATCAGTTTAGGCACGATATAGTGATTCACGAAGCTGTAAAAATATAGAAATATGTACATTTTATTTTAGCCAAAACCTATAGACGTTCATGTTATATCGCACTCTCGACAACGTTGCGCGGTATGGTATGGCGGTGCTGCATTGGCGGGTGATCCTGAATTTTACAGGGTCTGTCACACTAAAAAAGCTTATCAAGAATACGGTCCTGGAATATGTCGTTATAACCCCATATTCCACAGTATGGTGTAAAAAAAAAATAAAACATCCAACTGGCATTCAAGAAACATCATTACATGGACCAACGGTCGAAATTTAACGTCATTAACGACTCTGTTAATAATTTATCTGACTACAAATTTTTTCACTTACGGAGAGGCTACATTTTATAATATAAACTGGGCGTTTTCACTGTGTAATTTCTTAACCGAAAGAATTACGGGGAATGCCTCAGTGTTATACTAGGAAACGCACACGAAGATGTTCTCATGCTCATTGATTATTACATTATTATGTAAGAAAAGATATTTGCATTTAATAAAGAAACAGGATAGATTAACTGAAAGAGAGAAGGTAACGTTCCATTAGCAAAAATTGTTAAAAATAATTGATAAAAATTATAATACAACGCAATTGTATAGATATGTACATAAAACAAGTCTATTGGAAAATAATAATTCATTTTTTAATGAATCACGCTCATAGAATAATTTACATTATCCCGTATAAAATATTATAGCGTTAACGAGATGATTGTAAGACAGTATCTGCATATCATTTTTGTAACAATACAGTTTATTTATTATCGTACAATTTCTTTTCTATATTTACATTTTTTTTTTGTAAATTAAATGAGACATGATTATTTTTAAAACTAGTATTTTCATTATTACCTTATAAGGGAAATTTCTCTATTTCAATTCGATTTATTAGTATACATAATAAAATTTACTTTACCTTAAGTTTGCTCGTTGTTATCGTAACTAAAAACATAACGGTACCATTTGTTACAACTACTTTTGTTGCCATACGATCTTAGTGTCATATATACTTACAATAAATTTAGACTATCCATAGCAGCAACCAGAACTTCTTCATTAACGGAAAATAAAGACGAAATAAAAGCGGACAAAACATTTGAACTTGTTTGTGTTGTTCTTGTATTTGGTACAGGTCTTTTGTAAATATCAATGCTATCCACAGGTGGCAGAGGATCATGCGAGAGTACAGATCCATCGTTTTGTATCTGTAAAAATTTTTAAGACAAAGAATAGTGTCTCCCTGGTACCAGGGATGAATTTTTCATATTTAAATTAGGAACACTGTATATGAAACTTTATATACCTCTTGAACGTTCAAAATAACATCTTTTATATCGGACAATATAATATGTCTTAGAATGTTCTTTGGCAATCTGCCTTGATAGCGTTTACTTCGTTTCATTTCACAGTACTTGACGTAACTGTCTTTAGAATCAACTCGTTTTAACGCAGCATACACGTTTTCGCATAACCATGGTAAAAGGTCTGGGTCTTTCCATAAACGGAAACTACGCGCCACATATAAATTTTGTAACTTTTCTAATGCCGGTGACGTCGAAATAACTGCCTTGCTATTAAAGAAATCGTGAGCCCGTACCTAGAAAATTATTCCCGCCGTTAAACAACTTTCAATTTTGCATTAAACTTCGTTAAATTTCTTTTAAAGAAGTTGTTATTGCAATCATGATTTAAAAGTACCTTATCATCAGTTTGTATGCTACATTTATCCAACAGAGCCATCAATACACCTGGATACATTATTAAAGCGTTCTGTAAAAATTCACTGGCAGCAGTTTGATTGCCCGTATAAAAATGAGCCAGAGCTAAGCTATATGCTATATTCGGCAATTGTGTCATATTTCTCGCGCTATCCCACAAATTGCAAAATTCTATGAACCATTCGTATTCCTTTGCTCTTAAAGCATAGTAATCGATAGAGAGTATCACGGCTAAGGGATCGCCCTCTGGATCAAACGACAATAGTAATTTACAAAATTCCAAACTTGTTCTGAAATGAAAAGTTTTGTAAGAAAGTTTGGAAAAAAGACAGGGACAGCATGAGAATTCCATTGTTTTCACCTATAACATGCACGCCCGCCAACAAAATTAAGATGTTTGAACAAAGTTATGAACAAAGCACGATTTTGTTGTTTTCTATAATCCAACCTACATGTAGCAGTCGTTAGGTTAAACAGTGGGTGAAAAGCACATTCCAGACAATATAGTGCTCGTTCTGTGAATTCTGCAGCTAAAGCTAAATCTTCCTTTAGTTCGCAAAGTTCTGCTAATTGTAATAATGCATCTACATGATAAGAATGTGCATCTATTATGCTCTGAAACAAGACACGGATATTACATTTCTCGTCCAATGTTTGTTCATTATTTTAATTAAGTAAAAAATGTAACGTACAATAATATTTTCTGGATTCGAGCTTTCAACGGCTTCCAAGAACTTTAATTGAACATGTCTGTAAGAGGGGCTATGCTCGTATACAAAGTATTGAACATTATTGGTAGACTTTGCATTATGGTCCAAAGACATTGAGAGGCCGGATTTATAGATCGGTGGAAAGTTATCTCTAGGAGAAACTAACCAGGTCTTCTTCAAGTGACCTGTACGACCCCTATTTTTTCTATTGCTAATAAAGTTAAATATTTACCATGTAAAATCCAGCTGCAATTTCTATTTTATAAGTGTCTTTGTAAAATGATTTATACAGGGTGTTCTGCCACCTCTGGGTTAGGTTTGAGTTAATTATTATTTCTGTTTTTCAAGTATTTTTGTAAAATCATTTATACAGGGTATTCAGTTACCTTTGGGAGAAATTTCAATGGGAAATTCTAGAGGCCAAAAGTAGATGAAAGTCAAGAATACCAATTTGTTGATTCACAAAACTGTAAGGCTGTCGATACATCGGTAAGTAGAGTAGATAGAGATTCATATGCCGAATGAGAATCAACATAGCGCGCACGCAGCTGTTCGCAGATTGCCATTCTACAGGCGGAACTTTTTAACAAAGACTCGATCAACAAATTGGTATTCTTGATTTCCATCTTATTTTTGACCTATATAGGTCTATACTAGAATCTCCCATTGCAATTTTTCCTAGAGATGGCTGAACACTCTGTATTGAACATACTTTTGTTCTGCTTGTATCGTTTTTCTACCAAAAATTCTTTTAAGTTCGTTATAAGGGTTTAAATGTTTATGTTGCACCAATAACGTATCCTCTTTGGATGTTTGTTCGATCCATTGAAAACTGTTTGTATTTTGCGAACTACAACTCGGAAGTGGTTCTCCAAGCAACTTATTCACTTCCCTTACTGATCTTTCAATCTCGTCCGCATCTTCTGTCTCATTAGAATCAACAACATGATTTAGCTTCATACCTTTCAACTTTTTTTGCTTTTTTTTCTTCTTTTTATGTTTAACTTCGTTCGAACAACTCTCTTCGATAACTTGTTGTTCTTCATTTTCTCTATCACCGATTTCTGAATTCTGATTCAACTAAGGACAAAGAAATTTGACAATATTATTAAAAATAACTGTTACATCGCATAGCGTATGTTTAAGGAGTTTAAGGGAAAGTTTTACGATAAAACGTTTGAAAAAGATAATTTGTAACGTACTATATCGAACACATTAAATGTCTTAGATTTAACGTCGCCTATTATCGAATTTTTTACATCGGACTCGCTTTCACTATCTTTCTCGGCCAACGCATCACCTCCGTATACTTTTTTCATATACCGTGTGGACATCTTATATCAAATTAATTTTTATATCAATCATTAAAAATTTAAAACGAGTTAGTGAACTACACGTTCGATTTAAGTTTACACGTTCAGTTGTCAGAAATTCCAGTTAAAATTTAATCTTTCGCCCACTTGTCAGTTTCTCGCTCGAGTCCGTACAAATGAGCACGATTATTATAGACGCATAGAAGAGCAACCTATTGCTGACCTCATTTCTGGTTCTATATGTACACGTTTTACAGTATGTTTCTACATGTTCTACCAACAGTCGTACGATTTTTAAAGTTGTCGATACTGATCAAGAGCGAGAAGGCAAATGCGAGTCTTTCTCTCTCGAGTCCCGCGAGACGGTCCGAAATTACTTCGGGCAACTTCGGAGAATCGAGAAAGAACGCATGCGTCAGTTTGCCTTTGTCGACTTAGGCACAAAAAAGGAACCTAAAGGAACCTGTCCCCCTCCAGTCTAAAGCACATCGTGATTTTACTTTTATTCTTTCCGATTTGTAAATGTTTAAACATTTTATGTAACTGAAATCGAGTTGTCTAAATGAAAGCAAAGCAACCAAAGGAAACAGTTCGACTTTGGACCCTCGAATATCATAAATTTTCGGGTCTCGATCTAAACCTGAAAACTTGGGTACCCCTTTAATATCTGTATATTAAAGAATTTGGAAAACTAAATTAGTTAACTTCGATTGTTATCGATTATATAAATAAAAATATGTTTCTATTAGCAGTTGTATTCATTTTTCATCCGACACATTTAATTTGTAATTGTTAAATATGAAAGCATAAATGAATTTGTATACACGTATTATTAACATTTTCTGTATTCAGATATAATACTTACAAAAATAGGACTAAATAATGAAAAAAGAAAACAGTGATCAAGAAAAAGTAAGGTCCCACCGAGATTTGAACTCGGATCGCTGGATTCAGAGTCCAGAGTGCTAACCATTACACCATGGGACCTTGTGGACGTTCTTCCAATACCAAATATTTAAACGCGTTTTTTTAATAAATATGTTTGATCAATTCAGTATTTTGAAAACTTTTTAATCAAATTGGACTACGGTATAGTAGAATAAAAAAACATTATATGAAGTATATATTAATATATGTTATAATTTATATGTATTTTTACAGTTATTTATGAATTTTTTGTTGAAATGAAATAACGAGGTCATAAATTACTGTTGTCGTAAAAAATAAGAAAATTAAATAATAATCTTGTTGTCTAACATAACCTGAGTCAGTGAAAAAAGTATCAAATAAGCATTGGTAATATTAATAGTATATGTTAATTGCTGGTTTCTTTGTTATCAGTTGTATCTTCTGGCAAATTTGCATTCTCTTCTGAATCTTTCTCATCACCTTTTGAATCTTTATCTTTCTCAGAGTTTGTTTTCTGAAAATTATAATTACGTTCCATCTTACGCGTTCATTTTTACAATACAAAAATATCATACGGGATATCGTTTGTCGATACCTTCGTGCTGTTTGTAGGTTCTTTAATGTTGCATATTTCGAGCAAATTGTACTTTTTGAATTTATAATAATTTGGAGCAATAGATATAAGACAGATGCCGCGTATTACTTCCACTATCACCGCAAGTTCTGGATTCTTCAAATCTGCTTTATTTCCAGGATTCTTCTTGTTTATTATCTCTGCCAAGTCTTCGATGACTTCGTCTCTGTGTATGTTGTTGTTGCAGTGACGACTGTAATTGCATCAAATAGTTATATCTACACGCATAAAACAAGTAAATTAGAAATTTCAACCAAAAACATAAAAAAAAAAAAACTGACTTAAACACGATACTGAAGGTTTTCGGTTCTTGCGCAAAATACTTTTCAAGCACTACATCTGCTTTCAGTTTGATGTCGTCCATGTACGCTTTGCATACAACTTCAATCGGAAGTAATCTCAATAAGTATCTTGTACGTTGCTGTTTAGTTTTGTCCAATTCTGTAACAATTTTAGTGACTAACTCCAAAGGATCGGGCAATGTACTTTTTATAAAAATTACATTCTTCACGCCAGTGTCAACTGCCTAATAAAACAAAATACAGAGTGATTCTTGTTACGTTCGATGTTTAAATCATTTTTAAAATCTTCCCATAAAATTCACCTGAAATCTTCTGGCAGCTATCGGCTTCTTATATTCCGCTCTCAATTCATTAATTTCTTTATTCAAAGCGGTCGATATGTCATCCTTTTCGTCGTCTTGTTCCGTCTTAGAATTAACAGAATCGTCTTGTTCCGTCGTGGACACTTTGGTATTGTCGTTATCAGAGTCCTTGAATCGAAAACAATATGATATTCTTACGCGTCGTCGAGCATACATATACTTTCAATTCTACCGTACCTGCACAGTATGCGATCCATAAATCTCATCGGCAAATTCGGATAGTAATTTATAAGCATCGCGTACACAATCTTTCTCACGAAAATTACATGTGCATAAGAAACCTGTCATACCTATTTCCAAAGAGAACTGTTTATGTTTTTTTAGGTTATTTCCATTTTTTTGATAATAGTCTTTCTTTCTTTTCTGTGTGTTCATTTTTCTAGACGAGTCCTGTAATGACATTAGGTATATTGTAAAAAGAATAACGAACTCGTAATTGAAGAGTCCACGTGACTATGGTTAATTAGTATTTACTTGATATCAGAGGTTAAGCAATCTCTTACGCTGTCCACGTTTCGATATTACTGTTGTACGATCGTTGAAAACTTAAAACTCAGCGACACCGTTCTTTGTGTTCGCTTGAATCGTATTTGTCCGGTAACCACGTGAACTGAGATTCCAACTGTGATCATACATATTACGCCATTTACGAACACTATGTCACATCACGAATACATACGTAAGCTCGTACAGTTTCAGAGAGTCGAGAGAGACTAATTAGTACTTGTCCTTCTTCCTCGACTCTTCGAAGCTGCTTTAGAATAATGTTACGCAAAATATTACTCGTTAATTTAATTATTTATGAAACGTGCTATCAAGATTTCAAGTCTATTTAATAGAGTTAGAAATGTGTAAAACATTCCTCATATTCATATTAATAAAAAAACAAAATCATACTACATATTTCTATGCTTTTTATTTACATTCTCTACCTTTCCCATTAATTTCCCAATTTTTATAAATTCTACAGTACCTTACAACTGGTTCAAATATGATACGAATCTAATTAATATTTTATCAAGCTCTTCGATCATTTCTCTATACACTTCCTCGATTAATTAATTATATACGATTACTGGAAGCGTTAGTTATTACTATATTTACGGTAAAAAGTGCCAAAGTATAGTGTCGCCATCTAATATCAGGGATTCGAACTGCTAAAATCGTGCCAGGATCACAGAATGTTAGAGGAGGTATCCGGAGTACAGCTACCCCCACTCCACCTACTCCTGATACTCAGTACCTTGATTATTCGCTAATAACTCCTTTTCTGGGATTAAAGTATGAACTTTTAGAATCGAAGAATCTATATATATAAAAATAAGTTGTCCTATGTTCGTGATTTTATAACTCGAGAACCACTCAACCGATTTTCAAACTAGTACATGCGTTGGAAAGGTCTACTTTCACTGATGGTTTATAAAAAAAAAACATCGAAAAATTTCTACGAATATGCGTTATACGCGCACTTTTATGATGGTGTGTTTTCCCTATATAAAATGTATTTTTTTTCTTATGCGAATTACAAAAACTCAAGACCTGTTGAACCGATCTTCCTAAAATTTTGACACGTTATTCCTGCATACTCTAGGCCAGACATAGGCTATGTAGCATGTCTCAGAAGCGCGTTATTAACATGTAATTTATATGCAAAGATTTCATGTGTACGACTGTTTGGCAGACCACGCGACCCCTGTATACGACAGTCTACATGCGCGCGCATGCGCGTATTCGGCCCGCGCGATAACTCGCCCGTAGCAGTACTGCGATGTTACCGCCAGGTGGCGAAGCTTCTCGAGCGCTTTCTCGCGAGAGAATTGCATTATCGCGGATATACATGTCAAGGACGATCGTTTGGTCATAAATTGCTTTTGTACAAGGTCGGGCGAAGCCGAGATGGGGCATGCTAGTATAGTATAAACCCTTGACAACATTCAAGGATACTTTTCAGAACCATTCCGCCCGTAATTAACAAGTTATTAACGAATATCGGAAGTCGGAACATTTTAGCCGTATCACTGGCTGCTTTGATCGATAAATTATCAACTTTTTAACAATAACACACATATTGTGGTTATTACAGAAGCTATTAGACATCTCTGGGAATATTTAAGGACCAATTTTGCAACGCTCCACGCTCTAATTCAGTAGTTATTAGCCTTAGATCCCTAAGGTGTCGCGTTAAAACGTAGGAAACAGTGTGCCGACTTCCGATATTCGTTAATAACTTGTTAATTACGGGCGGAATAGTTGTAAAAAGTATCCTTGAATGTTGTCAAGGGTCTATACTATATTCTTAAACTCTAAAAGTTCATAATTTGTTCCCAGGAAAAGAGTAATTAGTAAATTATCGAGCAGTGATTCATTAAAATCAGTCATATCTATTGTGGCGCCATCTAGCGGCGAAAACAGCAACTATGCGTTTCTCGGCTCGTAATTAACTACTGCTCGTTAATTTACTAATTACGCCTTTCCCGGGAACAAATTACGAACTTTTAGAGTTTAAGAATATAGTATAGACCCTTGACAACATTCAAGGATACTTTTTAAAACCATCTCGTGCCTCATTAAATAGTTATTAACGAATATCGGAAGGCGGCACACTGTTTCTAACCCTTTAACGCGACACCTTAGGAATCTATCGCTAATAACTAATTAATTAGAGCGAGGAGCGTTGCAAAACTGATCCTTAAATATTCCCAGAGATGTCTACTTGTTTCTGTAATAACCAAAATATGTGTGTTATTGTTGAAAAGTTGATAAATTATCGATTAAAGCAGCCAGTGATATGGTTGTAGATGTTCCGATTTCAGATATTCGTTAATAACTTGTTAATTACGGGCGGAATGGTTCTGAAAAATATCCTTGAATGTTGTCAAGGGTTTGTACTATATTCTTCGATTCTAAAAGTTCATATTTTAATTACAGAAAAGGAGTTATTAGCGAATAATTAATGTATTGAGTATCTGGAGTAGGAGGAGTGGGGGTAGCTGTACTCCGGATACCTCCACTAACATTCTGTGATCCTGGGACGATTTTAGCAGTTCGAATCCCTGATATTAGATGGCGATACTGTTTCTTTGCAGATTTTAACACAATGATAGACCATGTTTGTGTGCGTGAGCTCGTAGTATATATGCATTTTAGCAGTACGAATCCCTGATATTAGATGGCGATACTATAGTTTTGCACTTTTTTGCCCAAATATAGTAATAAAGATCGAAGAGCTTGATAAAATATTAATTAAGATTCGTATAATATTTGAACCAGTTATAAGGTACTTTAGAATGAATAAAAATTGTGGAAATTAATGGGAAATGTAGAGGAGTATGTAAATAAATAAAAAGTATAAAAGTATACATAAAAGTATATCTATATATATGTACTATGATTTTTTATTTTGTATTAATATAAACATAAGGAATGTTTCGCACGTTTCTAACTTCGTTAAAAGGAATTTTGCTAGCACGTTCTATAAATAAATTAAATTGTAGAGCAAGAAGAAGAATGTTAAAACTCGTCGCGACCTTCGATTATTCTGCGTTACGTAACTGCGAATTTATTTCCTTTTTACACAACGTGGCCTCAACAATCGGCCAGATAAATATCCTACAAAGCATAAATTATTTCACGCATGCATGTTACACATCTATTAGGGCGCATTCTTTTTGTTGCCATGATCGGTCAATGGGTCTGCACCGTACACGACGTAACATCTAGTTTGTTTCTTTTTCTAACGGTTCTTATACGCAGATAACATTTACAGACATAACGTCCTCCAACTAATAACAATTTACAACACGCATTACATTTCAACACGTCTATATAGAAGAACTATTTAATCTCTCGCGGTTATCGTATTGTCGCCGGAAGGCAATTTTTCTTTATTTTCGCCCGACACGGACGTCTGCGGCGTTTCGACGTTCGGGCTTTTATCGATATCGCTGTCGGATGACGAATTATCTTGAGCCATTTCGAAACCGTGGGTTAAAAGATTGGTTATCCTTTCGACGTCCACCGTGTCATCCTGTTCGTGGATCTTTTTTAGAGCGTTCGAAACGATACATAGATCGCCTCTAAGTTCACTGACCACCGCGGTGATCTTTTGAGCGTCGGTTAGGACCTCCACCGACTGCGTATATGGATTGTAGCGTAATCCGAATGGACGCTGTATTCCATTTGCAAACGATCTAAAATAGTACAATCGCACGTTTTAACATAGTCTTTAAAAATCAAAAGAGATACAGGGAAAAATTTTAATGGGAGATTCTAGGGGCCAAAGTAAGACGAAAATCAAGAATACCAGTTTGTTGATCGAGGCTTTGTTACAAAGTTATTAACGTTCAAAGTTGCGCCTGTAAATAGGCAACCTGCGCACAGCTGAGTGCGCACGATAGTGACTCACATTCAGCACGAGACACTCTACTCAGTACGCCACTATCGTGCGCACGCAGCTGTGCGTAGGTTGCCTATCTACAGGCGCAACTTTAAACGTTAATAGCTTTTTAACGAAGCCTCGATCAACAAATTGGTATTCTTGATTTTCGTCTTATTTTGGCCTCCAGAATCTCCCATTAAAATTTTTCCCAGGGCTGGTCCCGATATAGAACAGATAGGGATGTTCTCGACATTTAATGGTGTACTTATTATTCCGTTAGTCAGAGATGCACGATTATTTTTTATACGATCTATTATTGTCGTTTTATTGGTAAAAAAATTGCTGGTGGTAGGAGCATGTATTACCGCATTTTCTCTTTCGCTTCCTCGATACTATCCGTATAATAATACGCATTCTGAAACGCAGTGATTATGCACTCCTGTTTACAAGTGATTTCCGGCTCGAATCGAAACGTCTTCTCGGGCGTGGATACCGCGTGTTTCAGTTCTGCAACGGAGGACAACAAACCAGCCCCGTAAATGCGAAGCACGCCGTCCTGTTTGCATAATCCGAACTCCACGGTGAAGAAGTATAGCTGAAGCAAGAGAAACATAATGAGAATGGGACACAGATTAACACTAGATTTACAGAAGCCGTCAATTTGATGGGTGTTTGATTCCATATTTAAAATTGCAGAACGCGTAAATATTATTTTTCAACGATTCATGTTGAATTTGATCGATGCAATGGCAAGAATACATATTCTAATTAAAAGAAAAATCGTATTTTAACACTTTACCGACCGATAGCCTATTAATCGACTGTTTTACCGGCCAACGCTTACCGACCGATAGCCTATTAATCAACTGTTTTATCGGTCGACGTTTACCAACCGATAAAACAGTTGATTAATAGGCTATCGGTCGGTAAAGTGTTAAGGTAATTGTTGGAAATGCGACCAATGTCGGCATGGTTGCCGGGCCTGCAACCGTTGGGTAGCGAGGGGGAATTGGGTTTCCCCGTTCGTGAACGCTCTTATGTTGTTTCATGGCCATGAGGCGACTTGTAATATTCCATAACCTATGATATTGTTATTAATCAGTTTTGTTATAATTTGGTACAAATAAACTTTATACTGTCCTCCGCTCACTTGAAGTCCCGCGAGACGGCACAGGGGCAAGGGGAGTCGGACCGCCCATTTATCTGTCTTGCTCACTTGCTCTCAGGCAGTCCACATGTGTGTGTAACTGCCGCGACGAATAGCGAGCTAGAGACCAATGTGTGCGTGGGAATACGTGTGCCCCTTCTACTTCTCCCGCATTCCTTCCGCGGGACTTCAAGTGAGCGGAGGACAGTACATGTGTTCATTTGTAACCTCTAATAGTTATAATTTGGTACAAATAAACTTTATACACGTGTTCATTTGTAACCTCTTAATAGTAATCGTCAACATGAAAGGTATCAATAAATATACGTGCGATCAATGCTCGTAAATTTAGTGTTAACAGTTTACCGACCGGTAGCGGTTGATTAATCGGCTATCGGTCGGTAAGCGTTGGTCGGTAAAAAATTCGATTAATAGGCTATCGGTCGGTAATGTGTTAAGGGTGGAAAGATTTATAAAATAAACTATGCCTGATTGGATAGTCTCCTTCGTTACGTGGAAATAAATTTCTTCGAAAGTTTTAATGGAACTAAGGAACTACCACAAACACGGTACGTTTACCGTTGCCAATTTATCGATGTCCTCGTCCGAAGCTCCGAGAGATGCGAGTCCAAGTTCTTGGGAGAACTGAGCGAAACTTGGGTTCGCTAGAAGCGGCATGTGCCCCAGCAATTCGTGACAACAGTCTCTGCGAGCGATAAAAGAAAAGTCGAGGATGAAATTGATATAAAAAATGAGATACAAGGTGGAAAGAGCGTTGGTGTAATAAGAAGAGAGAAACAACGTGAAATTTAACCCCTTAACGTACATGCCCGAGTCTGACTGCTTTCAAAAACAATATTTGATCAATCCAACGGTTTAAGGGATGATAATATTTATTTTCCTTCAAATTATATTTAGATATATTTTAGATATATATTTTAGAAACAAATCCAATAAAGAAAACTGATCATTGTTGATTAACCCGAGAAATATGAGCGTTAAGGGATTAAAGTGTCTTCTGGAGCGGTAAATATCTTTTTGTTGAATCGTAATCGTTGTTTGTGAGTTACTTACGGTTCAGGGGTGTAAAAGGGATCCGACGAATGTCGAATGTACTGCGTGCAATGAAATACACGGAAAGCGAGACCGGCTAAAAAATCTCGCGGGGTAAGGTAGCCGGCAACAGGTCGAAGTTGAAACCCAGTCGTTCCTGGCAACGTTACAAAGAGGCTCCGTTTTTAATCGTTCAGGTCGAATCGTTTATTCTACACTTACGTTTCAGAAAGGCGTTCACGTCTTGCAGTTGCGGTATATTGTCCTGCCTGCGAAAGAAGCGTGGAAAATTATACAGGGTGTTCAACCAACTCTGGGAAAAATTTTAAGTGAAGATTTTAGAGGCCAATGTAAGACGAAAATCAAGAATATCAATTTCTTCACTGAGGCTTCGTTAAAAAGTTATTAAAAAATTTCAAATCATTCTGAAAAAATTATTTTTGTTTGCGGGGGTCAATTACAATCATTTTTGGTGAATAGACATACCCCCGAAATCCTATCCATTTTCGAGAAAAAAATTCGAGAAGATGTGAAGGTTTTTCGATAAAATTAAAAATTTTCAAATCGTTCTAAAAAAATTGTTTTTAGTTGTAGGGGTCAATTACAAGCATATTTGGCGAATAGACATACCCCCGAAATCCTACGTACTTTTAAGAAAAAAATTCCTTACCGAAAATGTAATTTCTGGTTCCCACAAATGTCACGCGAAACTTTAAAATGTCATAACTTCTGAATGAATTGGACGATTTTAAAGTTTCAAAAGGCAAATAATGCGTATTTTTATGAAGAATATGTAGAAATTCTAAAAATATTCGAAAAGTTGTTTCTTAAACTCATAAAATCAGAAAACCCCCATAAAGATGGGCAAATTTTCAAACAGCCATAACTCCTACAATAGTGAATATATTGGATTGAAATTTTAGGAGGAAGTAGAGTTCATGGGTACCTACGAAAGAGTATTAAACAACTTTTCTGTAGAGCGTCAAACAAAATTACTAAAAATCAAAAACTAATTTCTAAGAAAAATCGGCGGAGAGTAGGTGCCTGAAAAAAAAAAAATTTCAAATCGTTCTGGAAAAATTATTTTCAGTTGCAGAGGTAAATTATAATAATTTTTGGTGAATAGACATACCCCCGAAATCCTATCCACTTTCGAGAAAAAAATTCGAGAATCTGTGAAATTTTTCGACAAAATTGAAAAATTTCAAATCGTTCTGGAAAAATTATTTTTAGATGTAGGGGTCAATTACAATAATTTTTGGTGAATAGACCTACCCCCGAAATCCTATTCACTTCCGAGAAAAAAATTCGAGAAGGTGTGAGATTTTACGACAAAATTAGAAAATTTCAAATCGTTCTGGAAAAATTATTTTCGGCTGCGGGGCTCAATTACAAGTAGTTTTGATCATTAGACATACCCTCGAAATCCTTCTCACTTTCGAGAAAAAAATTCGAGAATGTGTGAGATTTTACGACAAAATTAGAAAATTTCAAATCGTTCTGGAAAAATTATTTTCGGCTGCGGGGCTCAATTACAAGTAGTTTTGATCATTAGACATACCCTCGAAATCCTTCTCACTTTCGAGAAAAAAATTCGAGAATGTGTGAGATTTTTCGACAAAATTAAAAATTTTCAAATCGTTCTAAAAAAATTATTTTTAGATGTAGGGGTCAATTACAATAATGTTTGGTAATTAGACCTACCCCCAAAATCCTATCCACTTTCTAGGAAAAAATTCAGTAAGGACGTAACTTTGAACGTTAATAATTTTTATTGTGGCGTCTATAAATTCCCATTAAAATTTTTCCCAAGGCCCAACACCCTGTATACTATATTAATTAAATTTAATCAAAACCTAGCATACCTATAACCGCAATATTTCACCAGCTTTGGCCAATTCTCCAAATATTCTTTGCAAGCATGTTTCAAGTAGAGCTGATGCAATTCGCGGAAAACAGTTCCCCTGAAAAACGTAATAATAATAATAATTATTATTATTATACAAACACCAGAGACCATTCATTGGGTGTAATTATTAGCTAAATACGATCGATGGATCACGGTGAAATTATGTCAGTGCAAATATGGTTTTTAAAAATCGTCGACTACGTTTCTCAAACATTTATATCGATACTCCCGTAAACGACGACGATTAATAATTAAAATTCTTTTGTTCAACGACTCGTGTATTTCCAAGAATAGATGGTTTACTTGCGCTTGTCTTGTGCACATCCGAGAGAAACTAGATTAGGGAAGTCGCTTCAAGATCGCGAAGATAAATCGAATCAGGACAATTAAGGGGTGCATTCAACGCGGGGCAACGTTAGTTTGTTCACACGTCGCGAACGAAGACGGAGGGTAAACTCTTCGTTCTGTATTGGCAAGGTTCTGAAACTGTTTCGTAATCGTGGGCGAGAGCTCGCGGGATCTATCGAACGAGGATGATCTTTTTCTTCGTCGCTGATTGGCCTCGTGCTCGCGGAAACACGTACCAGGAATTCTCCTAACGAGCAAAACTTTCATCATTTTCTAGATTTCGATTTCTCATGTACTTTTCGATAACTTTGAACGTAGTTAAAATATTTTCGATACCTTCGCGTTTCATTGTTGAAACAACTGTTAAAAAGACTACATATATTTTCCTCAAGACAGACATTTTCTAGTGTTTAATACAGAGTAAGTAAAATAATAATAAATTTTACGAACCACGTTTTGATTTCCTCCGGCGTGTATTGAATGCGAGGAATCGGTTGGCCGCTGTAAAATCAACGATCGAGTTAAAAGTGTTTCTACGATCAATCTCGATCTATTTCGCAGGAAATATACTGATTTTTAACGTACTATCTGTAGCTGCTCGCGATGTCCGCGAACTGTTCGCGACGCTTGCGATACACCGGATCCTTGAAGCCCTTAAACAATTAAATCAAATTCGACCAGTTTCTAAATCCACTCTCAATAAAATAATATCGACAAAAAGGCGAACGTACAGGATGATCTGCGTCTAATTCGGTTCCGTACATCAGCACTCTCTGGGACTGATCTAAATCCGATATTTTTCGTGGGAACCAGGGCATGTCCACTTCACTGAAATCTGCAAATAAATACACAGAGTCTTGTCAATCAAACAAGCAATTTAATCGTAATGTAGTCGATTCGAATGAAATTTTAGTCGTGTTACCTGGTAACAGAGATGCTCTTTAACACTTTGACTTTACAGGATTTTTTACTATGGAACTGGAACAATTAATTCTCAGAACGAAATGTTAAAGTTGAAAATAGAATTCATGAATTTTAAGTTATGTAGTTTACAATTGTCTAAAATCGAAGTTCTGGTCCCTCAGAAAATTGTACAGTTTTGGTCTGGCAGTCAATGTGTTAAAGATCGTCTTTTTTTTTAATTATCGACGACGTTGGAGGACTCACCGAAACTCGGAGCGGCGGAAAGCGACGGACCGTGGGGTATATTCCCCATCTGATCGTACTGCGCCAAATTAATGGCCGCCACTTCGCGATTCAACATCCTCGTCAACTGTTCCATCCTGCTCGAGTCGCACTCGACGTCGACCAGGATCTCGAACTCCGAGCCACGGCGCAGCGATTTACGAGACTCGATGTGCACAACGTTTACACCCAGATCCTTCGCGCCACATGCGTGAAAACAATTTAGATAATCGATGGAACATTTTATCGAACGGAGATTAAATAGTTGACTTTTAAAACTTTTGCACGATGAAGAGGACTGTTCGATTAACTTTCAACGTGTGTACCTGGAAGACCTGCAGTACCCGCGCCAAGCCGCCCACTTGATTCTTCAACGAAAAAACGACGGAGCTTTTGTTGTCGTTGCCCGGTCGACGGTCCACCATGGGGATCTGAACGAGAGAACGCGTCCATACATTACAAAGATTCGAAATTGACCAGCAATTGTCCGACTTGGATTTCACCGAGCTTTCCATAGGATTAAACTCTTAAAATGGCGAAGTTCTACGACTTCTTGTCACCGAAGTTCTAATAGTTCAAATCTTTGAATACTAGATTCGAATCGAGTAACTATGTTTGATATTTCACACGTGTCAGGAAAGCTGGACATAATCGAAGCTGGACAGTCGTGGTCATTTCGGGACCAACTAACTTCGCTGGGCTTGTGTATGGGGCTTCCTTCTTTGATGGCCCACTGTTCGCCTCTTCTGTACAGCCACACCCCGAGCAGCCCTTTACCCGATCCACTCATGACGATCTCCTTCGAGGAAACGACTCTTAAAATGTCTGCAACGTAACGTGTCGCGAAAATAACGGTTCAACCGATAACAGTGATCTATCGAGACGATCGTACGGAGGAGAGTCGAGCGATTCAGCCGTTTAAGGGCCACGGAGCAACAGTGTCCCGGCACCGGTGTCTTCTGCTCTTCTTAAGACCTCGGTCCCCTCCGCGTACGCGTCCTTCTCAATGACGATCTCACCGGGATTGGTCGACGCACGGTAGTAGGAGGTTTTCCCCATTGGTCGGATAAAACATTTCATGGGGTTGAAGCGGAGTGTCGGGCTCACCCCATTTAACCGTAACTGTGCCGGTTGCAGAATGTATTCGGTGTGACGTCACTGGAGCCCGCGAAATGTGGGTGGTGCAAGGGCTGGCGCGGCGATGAACGAGAGAAGAGATTGCAAGGTCTCCTGGAAACCAACCGGGAAGGGCTGTTTCTTTTATTCCGAGGCTCTCGATCTTCCTCTTACTTTCTCACACCCTCCCCCCCCTCGACTCTATCTGTTCCTCTTTGCGATTCGAGCACGCAGTAGACCGAGACTCTGGGTTTCCGGGCCAGGCGAAATTAGTCGGCCACCAACGAGGCACGAATCGCCTTTCCAACGCGACGAGTACCGATTTTTCGCCGCCATTTTTCTTCCTTTTGCTAACCAGCCTTTTTTTATTATCAGATCTGCAAATAACTAGGTTCACCTAGGCGTATACTTGAGAGTTTCATACTGATTACAGGGCGACCCTGTCCCTGGCTGAGTTGCTGCTAAGTCGTAGTACTCTGAGGCTGATAATTCCGTGTTATGGACCCTGAAATATAGATGGAAGGTTAACGCAACTCGTGTTAAGCATATGTGACATGGACTCTAAGACTTATAACTCCAAAACGAATGGTACATGCATTTGGAAAATAACTTGTACGGTTACGAGAGGATTTATCGCTGAAATCTGTAACGTACGGTAACATTGATGGCGAGTCTTGCTTCATGGTAAATGTCAAACGCGGCTACCAAACGAGAAAGTGGTTCGCGGCAGGAATTCTCCTCCAAAGAATTGAATTTCTTTTCAACGAGACGATCGTCCACGGTTTGTGTTTCTTTTCCTAGAACAAAGGGAGGGTTTCATAAAAGCTCGAACGCTCGGGGAGTCTCCTCCGTTACTTGGCAAAGCAGATGCAGCACATTACCAATGTCCATCACTTACCACTATCAGCTACCAACCGACTCTACCCCTCGCTAAATTATACCGGCCGTTCCTATGGCATTAAGAGAATTGAGAGTATCGTTCGATTCGCGGAGAGGATCCTTGGTTTATGGTCGCGACTGCCAGTCACTGAATCGTCTCTGACCACGAATGGGAATTCCTATAAATATTATAACATTAGTAAATAAATCTGTACTCTTTAATAATAGTTTAATTTATTATTTATTTAGTAATAGTTGGTCTTTAGGTTTTAAAATTAAATGCAAAGAGGTGTTTGCCCTTTTATCCTTACCATATTGATTTAACCCGGTCCAACGAGGATACAATATCAATTTAACGTTTACTAGTGGTGTTACAACATTTTACCACCCGCATTTCAAAGCTCTGTACCTTTCACACAGAGATTACTCCGCAAAACTAGATATCCGCTTCGTCAGAATATTCCTTTGTGTTCGAAGCTGGACGTTCCTAATTTCCTCCATTGTTCGAAGGACGAAGACCGGGTACATCAAGATCGAAGAAACAGGATCGTTTCTGAAACGAATATGAATTTAGTCACTTTTCGGGCGACGAATAAATGCTAGTGAATCGATAGTTTTAATATTACGTTGCACATGTAACTTGTTTTAACATTCTTTAACGCGTGTCTTTAATTTGTACTTCTACAAATTGGATAATCGTAGCAGCACGATGGTAATTGAATCGGTTGTTGGAGAAACGGTGACCAAATGGTGTTACCATTCGATCCACGATTTCATTAATGGCAGGTTTTAATTTATTTCAGATTTAACGATGCAACGATCTCGCCTTTCCCATTTTAAGTGAGTTCAAGCATCCTACGATACTGAGGGGGGCTGCAAATATAGCTTTCTGGAAAGGTTAGTCGGCCATTCATGCATATCTCAATTAATTTAAAATTGTTATTCATTTAGTATTTGTGGAATGTACTCTATCATCCCTCCAAACATTACTCGTTAATTTTATTTAACTAAACTGCATAGATTCCCCTGAGAACATTTATCATTCGCGGATAAATTCTTCATTGTTCATACTAAGAGTACCAATAAAAGAACAGTCAGTGCCATTTTTGTTTTTGTCCCAAGACTAAATAAAATACTTGACTAAATAAATTACTCGAGCAGTTCTAACGATCGACTGTCTATTATATGAATGGAGAACAACAGAATTGTTAAGAAAATATAATACGATCTATCCCTGATAGAAATGGATCAGATGAAAAATTATATTTAACACTAAAATTACCAACAATTATAGTGTATTTATTTGCACCATAATGCAATGGAAATAAATGTTTATTAATTTTCTTATAAAAAGCTACGATAAATTTTCGAAAATCCAGTTGAACAACTCTTTTACAATTTTTATTAGAAACTACGAATGGATCATTTTGACCACTTTGGTGGTTCTAGTGTTGAAGGAAATCAGCAGTATCGTCGCTAATGACCAAGTAGTCGAAAGTAAATAAAGAAGAGGAAGCAGAATATTTAGAACAATTTTAATTTTTGATTTTTAACCCTTTGTTGATACCATCGATGAAATAGGGATACGAATCGACCACTTGAAAGGACTCAATCGATTAGCAAAAATAGTCGGGGAACTCTAAGTAAGAGCAAGACGATGGATATTCGTTGTTTGCAGACAGAAAGATCCTCTTGGAACGCTCTCTCAGCACGAATGAAGTAACTGATTCAAACAAAGAGGCTAGACGTAATATGGAACGAGGAGAAGCAACGAGGGAAAAGTTTTGTACACAATGAGGGGAGCTATATTTTCCAAAGCGAGGGGGTGATGGTTCTAAAAGAAAATTTCGAACGTATTTAATTACTCTAACGAAGCTTTAAAACTGTAACGTTATCGAGCCTTTGCACGTGGTTCCATCGGTTCACCCAATAGTTAATATCGTCAGTCTTTATTTTAACACAAAGTAGAATATATTATGATTATAATTTTTATTTTTTGAAGAACGCCTTTCTAAAAGTTTGCGAAATGTACGAATTTGTGTCTGCTTCAAAATGCTTTCAAATTCACGAATTTGAAACGGTTTTAGTTATAAGATTATGGACGTGGCAAATTTCTGTTGCATCGAGACAATTTACAAATCGCAAAGAAGAAACCTAAGACCGCTCGATGAACTGCGTGCAAACGTTGCTCTCCTTAAACTTTCGATGCCTGGAACTTCTTTAACTCGATTAACCGACATTAATTACTCGCCCTGGGTCGCCTATGCCCACTACCTATCCCTGAACAGCTCTATTCCTGTTAGCTAGTTGTCCCACTTGCGTCGTAAAATACATTTTCATCGATACGTGATGAGCCTACAGGAGGTCACAGAATTATAGAGACAAAAATTGGTAACATCTTTGAGATATCGAATTGTTCGATTTTCAATGCACCGATTAAAAATAGCTTCTTACGCTTCTAAACGCTGAATTACAGAAATACTTCTCAAGAGGTCGAAATAAATTTTATACAGTATTATCGATGATACGATAGCCTAAAGATACAAATTTCGAACGTCTCGGAGTTGACCGGGCAAGTTTGTACCAATAGCTCCGAAACACCCTGTACACTATTCGAGAGTAGGGCAGCTTCTCCCTAGGGAGAGTCGAATCGTATATATGCCTCTTCCCACAATTTCTGCATTAAAAATAAATTCCCCCGGCTACTCCCGTAACTCCGTGTCGGTTGCAATTTTCGAACTCGGCAACAAGAAAGTCTAAAGAATGTCAATGGATCCTCGCCCTTGAAAGACTTTTTATTCCCGATTGGCAACAAAAATGCGTCTCGATGCTGTCGACGATTCTTTATCAGCGTTTATATCGTAAATACAAGATGGCGGTGCTTAAAAGTTAAAATTTTTCTCTCATGGTTCGGGGAATTAAAAAAAGAAATAGTAAAAGTCAACATTGATCTTGTCTGTTAGTTAAAAAATTAATTCGAGTACGGCATTTCATTATTTCGAAAGCTTCTACACCCCCCCTCTCCACCCGTAGTTTTCGAAAATCGTCTCGCGACAAACTCATTAATGAGTGGTGTTTGATATTTGAAATGTCGCTATTTTTGGTTCTGTGCATTTTTTGGGGGGGAGGGTGGCGTTGGAGGGATGCGATATGTCAGCGTTTGTATCGTAAATACAAGATGACGGAGCTTAAAAGTTAAACTTTCTCTCATGGTTCCAGGAATTAAAATTAAAAATAGTAAAAGTCAATATTGACCTTGTCTGTTAGTTAAAAAATTAATTCGAGAGGAGTACGACATTTCATTATTTCGAAAGCTTTTACCCCCCACCCCCCGGTAGTTTTTGAAAATCGTCTAACGCTAAACTAGTTAATGGGTGGTCTTTGATATTTCTCTGGGAAAGATCGCCGCGAAATGTCGATATTTTCGGTTCTGCGCGTTTTTTTTTTTGGGAGGGTGGCGTTGGAGGGATGCGTCGGAGTCGCGGTTGAAATATTAAATCGAGCGAACTGCGGCGCGTCTCGGTCGACCCACGGCCTCGGTTTGGTCGGCTCGGTGTATCCCGTCCGTTCGATTTCCTGGTGGCGTGCAGCGAAGATCGCGTATCCCACGCGGGGGTATGCGCGACGCCCACCACGCATAAATCAATAGGGCGTCGCGCGAGCGTCGTCGAAGCGTCCGTCGTCTCGCGACGTCGTCTCCCCCCTCTTGAAACGGCAGCGACATCTTTCTCCGTTGCGTTCTCCTGGGGGTCGACGAGCAGCAATCCTCCAGGCCGTCACGGCCGCCTTCAGGACCGATCGACCCCGTGGCCCGTGTTTCCCACCGACTGCTCGCAATGGCCGACACCGAGTTCGAGGAGTTTCGCCAGTACTTCGACAGGCTTCCCCAACACCTCAAGGCGCCTCTTTCCAATTACACGTGAGTAGAACCGTCGAGCAGGCTGGACGCCTTAACGCGAACGGAGTAGATCGCTAGACCAAACCGTGCGGTGGTCTTCGTCGTCGCGTCCTTCCCAGCATAGTCGATCGAACGAATCTACGAACATGCTTATGTCAGTTTCGAGTGACCTGTCAACCGACGGTACAAAAATCTGCGCGACATTGTTGGCCACGGGTCGCATAGATGGGCTGAATTCTCCGGATTGGAGACCAAGAATTCAAATATCTTATCGAGAAGCTTCTGTTACTCGAATCAAATTCTGCCCAACTATGCTACGGATGGCCCACATCGTGTCTGCTCGCCTTGAGACGCTCGAGCCCTATGTCTGGCGTTCGCCTGTCGATTCCACTCCTCGGAGTCGATATCGAGAACCAGGATCTCTTTCACCGGAGCATGCGAGAGAGCGTTCGCGCAGGAAGTTGTCTCGTTCGAGAGATCGGCTTCCGTATGTTAGTGTGAAAGGATCCCTGGACAATGGGGTTCTGTTGGCATTTTCAGCAGTGCTCTCCAAGGACGAAGAGCCTCGATCGTGAGTGTCAATTCGAGGATCTTGATTGTTCGTTTTCTAATCGAGATCCCTATTGAGACCTATCGTTTGTAGACTTTCAAAATGTCAACGAAACGCTCCTTTGATGTTCTTAGTTTCAATACTGCATCTGCTAGGCAAAATTACAGTGGATACCAGACACAAGTAACCCAGGTATCCTGAGGACCACGACACAAGAGTGTTTGCGTTGGCGTTGTGCCTTTGAAGACTGCTAGTTCAAAACGAGGAACTCGATGATTCGTTTTTAGAACTAGCAGCCTTCAAAGGCACAAAGGCAAATTTTACAATCGTTCCAAGTAGAAATATCCACGAAGTGAACGTTCTCGAGAGAGGGATGCGTTATAAAAAACCGTGACAAGTTTCGTTTCTTTTTTACAAAGATCATTAAATGATCAGTTGACGAGACCCGGTGTGAACGAACGTGCAAGATATTGTTTATCAATAATAGAAATTGACGCATTACGGGATTCGATTTACGTCATCGAGGAAACAAAGAACAGTGTAAGAGACTCGACTCTTGAACAAAATTAAAATTATTTAATAATTTTATATACTTTTTACGCGTTTGCACTCTGTTCTTCCAAGTGTCTCGATGCGTGTTTCTGGTTAGGCTGCATTGCGTCTTTAATCCGTCAGGTTTAGACCAGCGGCGGGCAAACTTTCGTTCGAATAATACTAGGTCATTCCGTAAGTTCGTGCAAAATTTTACAGTGCAACTTGGAACGATATTACAAGCGTGCAATAAAATTATTTAAGAACCTGTGATCCGCCTCTCGTTAGGTAGTTACCTCCGATTTTCTGTTCCTGGTAAGGGACGATACCTCCTGGAAAAAATAAATAAATTGATTAGCAAGAATAAAATTTGTTCATAAGATGTATTAAAAAACAATCGAGTTTAAATGTTTATCTAGTAGCGTGCAGTTCGACTTTGCAGATCGGTAGAAGTAGAAACAGTGACTAATGGTCGTACACTAATCACGCGCTTATCCGATAAATCTTCAAACACTATTATTTCACGGAGTAAACATTATCTGTAAACCCAAACGTATTAAATAAAATTCTAACGAATCAGGACACGACGATTTTATTTATCTACTTCGACGGTGCTCGAAAAGGGATAAAATAAAATCGATACGATCCCATCGGGTCCGCTTAATTACTTCCATTCTACTTGTCAATCTTGATTATTTGACTTTTAGGGAAACTAGACCGCTATTAATGGCCAGCAGTCGCGCTCTGTTTTTATCGCTAATCGTCTAATCGGATGCCCTCGTTTCTTTCCCAGCAAAGAGTTACCTTTCGAAGCGTATCACGAAAACAGCGAAACGAATTTACGAATTTAAGGTGAACGCACGCTTCAAAACCACACACGTGTATAACAAATTTTAATCAAGCTTCACTGCTCCGTAAGTTTTTTGTTTAAGAATGCACTTAAAGTTGTTCTGCTTTAGAAATGTACTTTTTAGACGATAAACTCCACGAGCAGGCAAAACAAATCAATTCCTTTGCTCGAGACGCAAGGAAACCTCTTTAAAACTGTCGTTTACCTGTTGGTCACCAATGTTCGAGTATCTCTCGTTCGTGACGAAGTGTTCTTCGAGAATTCAACGCGTCAGCGCATCGAGCTTTGATCCACCTTATCGTTTAAATGGATAATACTTAAACAGAAGACGTACGAAGACACGACACATCAAGTTCTCTTCGAAAATTCAATCCAAACCATTCAACGTGTCATAGACAAAATCATCTTCAAACGCAAAATAATAATGCACTCTGTAAGATGCTAGACTCTATCCCTGGTCGATTATCACGTTTTGTAGATTTTAATATTACTAATTATAATACTTGAAAACCATTCAACGTGTCATAGACAAAATCATCTTCAAACGCAAAATAATAATGCACACTACGTAAGATGCTAGACTCTATCCCTAGTCGATTATCACGTTTTGTACATTTCAATATTAACAGACTACATGCTCCAAATTACTAATTATTAATATTTGAAATAGAGAAATTCTACAAAACTTGTACAAATTTGTAAGATGCTAGATCCTATCTCTGGTCGATTATCACGTTTTGTAGATTTCAATATTAACAGACTACATGCCTGAAATTACTAATTATAATATTTGAAATAGAGAAACTCTACAAAACATGATAAAATCTATTACTCTAGTATTCTCTCTTAAGAAACGCAAGAACAGTCCGCGGGACCAGATAACGCGAATGCCAGCCATTTTGAAATCGTTTTAAGATCTCTGTAGTCAAGTATGAATTTAGTAAGAAATTTCTGGTTGACGTGCTATAAAAAGATCTTGAGGTAAAATATGGATCATCTTCCGCACGTTCACGTAGTCGGTGAGTTAATGTTGCTGATTGATTTTTGGGAACAGACTCGTTCACGATGTGATGCTAGACGATTCGCCGACCTCGTCGCAGGGCAGCGACGCGGAGGTTGGCAGACCTTGCAACGGAGTCGCTGGCGATTCCGAGGACGAGGACGTGGTGGTCATTCATCGGCATAATAACCAGAGCGGGCACAGTTCCGGAGACGACAGCGAGGATCTAGATCACAACTGCTCGATTGTCGCTGACAGCGACTTTAGGTTGGTAACATCGTAAGTGTAAACCATTTCTTTCTCATTCTTGCCTGTGAGATGCTCTTGTCGTTACAATTCGGTAGATTTTTATTCTGGGTTCATGAACGGTATGCCACCTAACTTGACGACTTTAAATTAGGGTAGATCAATGGAGGTTCCACTCCCATTCCACTGATCAAAAAAAGGATCTTTTAGAAATATTAAATAAAACTGTGATTATCACCTTATTTTTGTTGGTCCTTAGGATTCTTGAATCACAGAAATCTAGTCCATTTTTGTTTTATCACGTTTTTCTTCATCCAAGATTGATCTATCGTCCTCCCTGAAATATATCATACAGTTAGTAGAAGATCTATGAAGAGCAAAGGAATCAAAATTCTTATCAGCAACAAACTTCCAGCATTGGAGTTCTGTTTAGCCACTTCTTTATAAAATTCTATTGCATGGATTTTTTTTTAAACAGTTTAGAAGTAAGGTTGTCAAGTTGGATGACTTTAGTAGTCTTTAATTGCACGTCCATAGTTTCAGGAGTAAATTTCGGTTGAGAAAATGAGGAAGAAAAGTTTTATGAACCCTGTCCAAGGCTTTTGTTCTTCCAAGTTATACAGAATTGAGGACGAGTGCTGATGCACCGTATACTGCTATATACAGACACATATTCGCCATTGCAGTATAAGTATATTCGATCGTTCCGCCATTTTATCACTTGAGATAGAAGCAAGGTAAAAGCACCAGTGGCGGACGCTTTCAGACTATGTTTTCTTTAAAAAATCCATAAATACTTTATTAAGAAGCTAAGAAACGTATGATTCACTGTTTTAGACAATATATATTTCTTTGTTCGTCTCGTTGGAACGAACACGGTGTCATTGGACTCGGTTGATGAGTAATAATATTGTTGAATAGATAGTTCTGCAATGTTTCTATCGATTCTTGTAAATCTCTGCATGCAAGAAGGAATGAATCTTTTTTACATTTACTCAAACCTCTGCCACGAACCTCCGGTTAATAATTCCATCAAGGTCACGATTATTTTTAAGCCCCTCTCCTATTTCGTTTTCTAGAGAACGGTTATCGATATTCTTACAATTTTAGAAACGCATCTTGGCAAAGGCAAGTCATCACCAGCAATGGCGTACAAAGATTTCCGGACGGTTATATCTTTAACATCCAAGTATTGCAAAAATGATTTCTCTCTGCTCGTGGGGGTAGAAAAGTGAAATCGTCCGAAAACATTTGTACGCAGTTTTAAATTAGAATAGTAACTCAGACAATGTCTTCCTGCGGCTCCAGAAAAAATAATCTCCCTCCCCAAAGATATTGAGAACGATTTACGTAACGATCGACAAAGTAGGGTCAAGTTTCCAGTTGTTATTAATTTAACTAGCAGTGTAACTTGTAATTGTAATTTTTAAATTGACTGATGACTGATGTTATTCGTTATAATTCGTTCTCAATATGCGATGATGAAAATTCCCATGAATCTACACTTCAAACGGCATGGTGAAAGGTAGCTTAGCTCACTACACAACTACCATTGGGTGACATTAGCTTGTTCGGTGGACTGAGCAGCAGGGATCGATCGGCAGGCGTCGGTGGACCGGGTCCAGGTGGAGGCACCACTTCCGGCCGCGGTAATGGCGACAGACACAGCGACGTGGGCAACTCCTGCTCGAGCTTGAACTCCTGGCCGACGCCCGAGCACGTGTCCTCGAATCGTCCAGGGAGCGGCGAACGCAGACGTCGGAGACTACCGGAGATCCCCAAAACGAAAAAATGTAAGGAAATCCAATTGCAAACGCACCTATCTACCATCTACACTCTCCATCTCTTAAGTTAAATTTTACTTATAATTAAGACGGACGTCGATGTATTTAAAAAGCTGTAACTGCATCCTCCGATCGTTTTTCATCGATCTCTTAAACGCGGGACTTTGTAAACAAAGTATCGCCCTAGAATAACGTGACCTTAAGCGCAAGACGCGATCTCGATTACGAATCGACCGTATTCATGCGCATTTCTCATCACCGATCTTAACGATATCGCGGATCTGACCGCAGAATCGGTAACCGCAAAGAAAGAATATCCACAATGACATCAAGTGTCACGTCACTTGTTCGTGAACCGTGCATCTGTTACGATTGCTACGATCATTTATCATCGTACCGATGAGTATCGATCGCGTGGCTCATTGGTAGTTAGTATACCAAAAATGTTGAGGCTTCGATTCCACGGTCGTTTAGTAGCTTCAAGAGGAGATACAGTGTTTGAGGGGTTACACCAGGAACTATGCATCCGAAAAGTTTGTGCTACTAACGACGAATGTACAAATTGGTGAACAGATTTTACTTGATACGACGTTCGTTCTTCACAGGTCTGCCTATCGGTCAGATGTCCCTGCAATCCTCGTCGTCCCTAGCAGACGAACTGAACGCAGCCAACGGTTCCAGCCTCACCCGGCCCCATTTGGTGTTACGAAAATGCCATTCGAGGCTTCGCCACGAGGACAGTTCGCCCGACAGCGAACGATTGGCTACCGACAGTGGCCACTCCACCGCCCACTCGCCGGAAAACGGGCCGAAAAGCGTGTCCCCGATACCCTGCAATACCCTACAGAACACGGACTCTGCTTCTCCTAGCAGTACACCAGGTGATTTCTTTCTCCTTGAGACGATGATAATAGTCGAAACGTAACGAGGAGGTCTTGAATTCCAGTTTCGTTTTGCTTTTGGACTGTAACATAGTAGGTAAACACACTGTAAAACAGTTGTAAAACTCGTATCTCGAATAGTATCAAAGACTGTACCAGGAGGTGAAGCTGCAAAGTTTCATCAGAATCTTCATTGATCAGGCCAATTAATGATCTCGTGTTACTTCGAAGGGAGCGGAGGTGTCCCGTTCACTCAGCTGGAACTGCTCGAGGCGACCCATCGAGGATTGCACAAATTTGTGCCGAGACACCACGACGAGATCGATCTTGAAATCGGCGATCCTATTTACGTTCAGAAGGAGGCCGACGATCTGTGGTGCGAAGGTACGTGGTGTCCAATCGGTGATTCCTATTTCTATGGAAGCTCTTCAAGTTGGTTAGATCAACTAGTAAACCCAAAAATGCTACGAATATTCTTTAACTCCTTGCCTCACGATTTAATTTCCAACTGTGCCTGCTAAAAGCGAGACCAAGGTTTGGCCATTGTAAGCTAAGGGGTTAAAGAACGAACGTCGTGTTAACTAATCCTCGTTTCGTGTCCAAGGCGTGAACTTGAGAACCGGTCGTCAAGGTATCTTCCCTTCGGCTTACGCGGTCGACATGGACTACAGTGATTTCGACCCAACGGCGTCGAAAGTGAAATGGGAGCGATACCTCCTGGGTTACCTGGGATCCGTGGAGACCTTGGCGCACAAAGGTACCAGCGTGGTTTGTCAAGCAGTTCGGAGAATCGTTGGTAACTCCCAGAAGTCGCCTATCTCGCAGAGTTGCATCCTGGAAGTATCTGATCAAGGTCTTCGAATGGTCGACAAGAGTAAACCGCGGGTACGCTTCATCGCCGTAGCCTGCAAAGAACAAAAATAATTATTCTGGTGTACTCTTATCGATGGTACGTGTATTGTGTTCTTTCAGAAAAGCCAAGGACCCTGCCACGATTATTTCTATTCGCTTAAGAACGTTTCCTTCTGCGCGTTTCATCCCCGCGATCATCGCTACCTCGGCTTCATCACGAAGCACCCTACCTTGCAAAGGTTCGCTTGCCACGTGTTCATTGGTCAAGAATCCACGAGGCCCGTTGCCGAAGCCGTCGGGTACGCATACCGTTTGCACATTTTCGTTTTTTAAATCTCTAGTCGGATCGTTGCATTCCGTTAACCGGGATGAGGACTTTAACCCGAGTTATAACAATTATTCCAGGGACGTAAACGGTAGAAGTATGTGACAATAAGATTGTAAGTTCTGTTCTTCTTTCCATAGGCGTGCTTTCCACCGGTTCTACACGAAGTTCATGGAGACTGCTTTCCCGATAGAGGATATCTATATCGAATAGATTATACTGCTGGCCTGTCGTATAGCGGCTATGGAGGAAAAGATTAATCTCACGATCCTTTGTCCCTTGTATATACTGACCTTAGATGTAGATATAAAATGACAGACGCGAATCAAAGACCCAATTCTATACATATACATATATGTACATATATACATGCATATACATATATGTATATCTATATAAATATATATGTATACCTTATACATATATATGTATACAAGATGTGTATGTATACAAATGCACAAGGTGGTCGGAAAATCATAAATTCGTCGGGGCAAATTTGTCCGGTCCAAAGGTATTTTTTTCAAAATCGTTGCCATTTTTTAACATATCAGCGTGTATTTTTCGTAACACAGCATCGAAGCACACGTCGAAGCAGATTCAACGACCACACTTAATGACTCTCAAACAAACCTCGAACGAAGTAATCTTACCAGTATAAACGCAATTGAAAAATTCTACATGTCTAGTTTACTATAAGAAATAAATTTATAGTTTTAATTAATAGTTTTATATCCTGTATATCCCGAAAATGTCTTGAAGCCGACGGACATCATTTTGGAAAAATGTATAATTTTTCAGTTGCCTCTTTCGAAGGTCATTGGTACGGTCGTTGAATTTCCCTCGATGTGCACCATGATGTTGCATTATAAAAAATATATAATGTGCAGAAATATGGCGGCGAGCTTTGGGATTCGAAAAAAACTGACGAAAGAAAATAAATCAAATAAATTTGTCCCGACGTATTTTTTCGTATCGGATAAAAATAACGAAGATATTAGGATGTTCGGGATAAAAGATACGCCCTGTATACATATACATACTTGATATGTATGTTCCCGGCAACTCTGGAAAGCGTCACGACGGGACCGATTCAGCGCCATTTTTCTTTCGACGATTACTATTTACTTTTCGATTGAATCGTTTGCGTTGATACATCCTCCCCATCCCCTTTCTTCTTCATCTGATGTTAAGCACGATCCATCGTATATAATCCTGCAAATAATTTTGCTTTTTGTTACAATGAGACGTGAGTTGAACATACCGGGTGGAAAAGATCTTTAATATTCGAATAACGTACGCTAATTACTACCGATAAGAACTAAATAGTTAACCTTTCGATCCTTCGACCAAGATATCCGTATAGCGACACGTAGAAAAACAAACGACAATAGTGTGGATCGTTCCGATGATTAAAAGCGGCAATGTTTCGTTTGCTTCTTCGTGTCAACGGTTTTGATCATTTCTCTATTCTTTCTCCGTGTTACGTTTCATCGGTGGCAACGAAACGAGAAACAAACAAACGGATCGTTACGAAACGATCTCTAGACGCGAGCCAAAAAAAAAATATTTTATTGTACTTGTATTAGAGACTTGTATATTTTTCTATCTTTCTTTGCGAACGAATCGTTAATTATAGATTACGTTTTAAACGATAAGGCTTTGACGTTCACGATGATCTTTGATTCCGCGAGTCCTTCGTTCACGTCGGTATACGACTATTATAATCGAAACGCACATTGGCCTCTGTATTTAAATTGTATCGACTGTATCGGCGTTGCAGCGTTTCGCGAACATTCAGACGGTACGAATCAAATCGCACGCACCGAACAATGAATAAAATATTATCGATATCTATAGGAGAATCGCGATTATTAATTTGTACCAATAATTATATGATTTTGATCGGTGGATCTCATGACAGTCTCGTACGTAGATGCTAATACCGTTCGATGGATCCGTCGTCAAGAACGAATATACAGGGTGTTCGGCCACCTCTAGCAAAAATTTTAATGATCGATAGTAGAAGCCAAAATAAGACGAAAATCAAGAACACTAATTTGTTGATGGAAGCTTCGTTAAAAAGTTATTAACAATTAAATTCAAAAATTTCAAATCGTTCTAGAAAAATTATTTTCCGTTGCGGGGGTCAACTACAATCATTTTTGGCGAGTACACATACCTCCGAATTCCTATCTACTTTCGAGAAAAAAAATCGAGTAGGTGGTGAAATTTTTTGGCGAAAAAAAATTTTTCAAATCGTTTAAAAAAAATTATTTTCGGTTGCGGGGATCAATTACAATCATTTTTTATCATTACACATACCTCCGAAATCGTACGCACTTTCGAGAAAAAAATTCCTTACTGAAAATCCAATTAGGTGCCTAAATTTTTCAACGGAGAGAAAAAATTGCAAATCGTTGTGGAAAAATTATTTTCGGTTGCGGGGGTCAATTACAATCAGTTTTTGTCATTAGACACACCCGCGAAATCCTGCCCACTTTCGAGAAAAAAAATAGAGAAGGTGTGAAATTATTCGAGAAAATTAAAAAATTGCAAATCGTTGTGGAAAAATTATTTTCGGTTGTAGGGTTCAATTACAGTCTTTTTTGGTGAATAGACATACCCCCGAAATCTTGCGCATTTTCGAGAAAAAAATTCAGTAAGAGCGGCACTTTAAACGTTAATAACTTTTTAACGAAGCTTCCACCAACAAATTAGTATTCTTGATTTTTGTCTTATTTTGGCCTCTACTATCGCTCATTAAAATTTTTGCTAGAGGTGGCCGAACACCCTGTATAATGATATCCCGACGAAATATTTCATTTACGATTCGTTCAAAATTACCAAGTTTTTGTTACGTTCAGGGGATATTTATCACGTGCTTGGGATTTGATCCACGCTGTATACGTATTAAACGACTCGGTTACACAGTATGTTGAATAAAAATTGCGAGAGAAATTGCAGTGCTTATTCATTGCTAAAGAGATTCTATCTGCACCATCGTCTATCAATTATACGTGCCTTTGATTGAGATCACCTCGAGTATCGTGCCTTTCCGATTATTTTCTCACACAGGTACAAATTAATATCATCCGCGTGTAAATCATTGTTGCGATTTCGACGAGTAACATGTTCTTTATCTCGTATCTCCATAAGATGCTGCTACATCCAGTAAAACATGCATGATGCAACATTGCTTTCCGTTACGATTATGCCAGACACCTTCACGCCGAACGTTGACTCGATCGTAACAGCGAAACGTCGATTACTTCATGCGTAATCGAGTCATCGTTCCTCGTTCGATTTTCGATGTTTTTCGTCGAGACGTTCAATTGGGGATTCGATTCGAACCTTCGTCGCTCGAACGATATAATTACGATATAGTTGCAATTTTGGTAGCGATAACGAAATAATAAATCCTTGTTATCGATAATGATTTTCTGTTTTATATCTCGTAGCTGTTAATTGGGTAAAGATCAACGCTTCTTTCCTCCGTGAACATATCGTGAAGCGTTGAACGATGCGCATCGAACGAAAATTCTATGCTCGCCAGAACGATTGGCTTTTTTAATTTTAATTAGTTCGTAGTCCCATTTGTCAGCGATTCGGTAGAAATTATTTATTACATGTTACAGCGTTCGAATACGTTTAAAATTTGTTTTTAAAAGTTGTATTAAATTTGTCGGATCAATGCTCAAAAAACTAATGCGAGAATTGAACGATTCGAATGAGATTGAAATACTCGCAGCCCGGAAGAAGAAAAAAAAAAAATACTGTCAGTCGTACGATAGCGTTTAATGTGATAAGGTCTGTAATCCTGTCTTTGCAGGCCAATTGGGTTCTGTAATTATTTTAAGAATCTGTTGTGTAATAAATAACTCGTGATTTTAAATATTTCATTACCACGATATGTAACTGTTTCTTTCATTGAATGGAAAATCGACTCGTGCGATGTTACATAAGAGATAGGACGCCAGGGAAAAATATATTAAAAGGAGGGTTGTAACGTCTGTAATTTTCATATAATTTCTACATATATTTCTTTCAGGCAGTATTATTTACAAAAATGTTCCACCTTCTACGAAGTCTTGATAATTCAGTCTTGACACAAGTTATACATGTATATGATCCCAATCATTTATAATATTTCTTCATTGATTATATTAGGAATCCATCCTTTTTTTTTTTCTTTTATTATTATTTATGCTTGTTTACATACGTTTTATTATTCTTTGCTCATATTTAATATACTTCGAAAGAGAATTTAGAAATGTTACTGTTCGACTGGTCAACACAAATCAAGTAGAAACAAATTATTTTTTCGTTTGATTAGAAAGTAGGAAACGTGTTTCTCGAAATTAATGTTTCTTTTGTTCCATCATCTACACTGCTCCAGACTACATGACTGCAAACATTTTTATAAATTTCTGCATGGTATCGCCTCGTAGTACATAGTATTATTGATTCTTTTCTCAGTTTGGAAGAACAGAGGAACGGATTTCAATTACATTCTTCAACATTCCTTGACGATCTACGAAGAATTATACACCTCTTGTTAAAATAATTTTTTTTATAATTTTACACGCGTTGCTTCGATATTGTATCATTTGCATTGTTATAATTAAAGAAATGCACATATACATGTAAAAATTGAATATAAATTTAATACAAAAAGTATTCAAAAAATTTCAAACCCTTGTAAATATTCACTTATGGTACGAAAAATATACAGGGTGTTCGGCCACCTCTAGCAAAAATTTTAATGAGCGATAGTAGAGGCCAAAATAAGACGAAAATCAAGAATACCAATTTGTTGATGGAAGCTTCGTTAAAAAGTTATTAACGTTTAAAGTGCCGCTCTTACTGAATTTTTTTCTCGAAAATGCGCAAGATTTCGGGGGTATGTCTATTCACCAAAAATGACTGTAATTGAACCCTACAACCGGAAATAATTTTTCCACAACGATTTGCAATTTTTTAATTTTCTCGAATAATTTCACAACTTCTCTATTTTTTTTCTCGAAAGTGGGCAGGATTTCGTGGGTGTGTCTAATGACAAAAACTGATTGTAATTGACCCCCGCAACCGAAAATAATTTTTCCGCAACGATTTGCAATTTTTTTTCTCCGTTGAAAAATTTAGGCACCTAATTGGATTTTCAGTAAGGAATTTTTTTCTCGAAAGTGCGTACGATTTCGGAGGTATGTGTAATGATAAAAAATGATTGTAATTGATCCCCGCAACCGAAAATAATTTTTTTAGAACGATTTGAAAAATTTTTTTTCGCCGAAAAATTTCACCACCTACTCGATTTTTTTTCTCGAAAGTAGATAGGATTTCGGAGGTATGTGTACTCACCAAAAATGATTGTAGTTGACCCCCGCAACCGAAAATAATTTTTCCAGAACGATTTGAAATTTTTGAATTTAATTGTTAATAACTTTTTAACGAAGCTTCCATCAACAAATTAGTATTCTTGATTTTCGTTTTACTTTGGCCTCTACTATCGCTCATTAAAATTTTTGCTAGAGGTGGCCGAACACCCTGTATAACGAATGCAATAAATATTTATCTTCTCCATTACTCTGTTATGTTCGTCTGTTGTTAATCCGAGGTGTATTTCTCTTCATTTTCGTGAAATGTGTATCGCGTTGTCGTAATAGCTACGGTAAGATTTACACAGTGTTCGACGAGTCTCAAAAACACTGAAATTAAAAATTGAAATAGCCACACAATGACGTTCGCTTAAGATTTAATTTTGTAACCGCGTTACGGAGATTTTCACGCAGGTCGTTTGTTTTTTACCATTCTAAACAAATTACGATCAATATTAATTAAATTGTGTCGTTACGTACGCGGAGGCGTAATACTGTCGATAGAAATTTCAAGCTTCTTCGAACGAAAACTGAGCACGTAGTGAAAAACATTTCGAATTTTGCGTTTAAATTTTTAACAAACAAGATCACGAATAGACGATCGTTTCGCATAAAAATTTTTTCCAAGACTGCTTAATACGTAGAACGGACGCAAATCAATAACGTGATTTGACTTTACAGCGATTTTAAAAAACATTCTGCGATGTTCTGCTCCCAAAAATACATATATAAACGTACAAGGAGGATGTACACAATCGTGTCCAATTGCGTTTGCATATGTAACTTACAGAAAGAAATTGTAAAAATCACTTATGTGCAAACAGCAGTGTATAAAATATAATAAAGGTAGTATTTACAATATCGTAAGATTAAACGTTAGTTTAGCGAATTCTGTAGTGCCATCTGTCTATGTCACATTGATATCCGCTCGTTTTCATTATATCAAATAGTTGTAAACTAATATTTCATTTTTCGTTTGCTTCCTGATCGCGCGGAACCAATTTTTTCAGTCCCGAATAAACATTCCCTCAGCATTGTAGCTTTTTCTCTTTTCTGTTTGCCTGCGTTAGACTATTTTACTATCAGCAATGAACGTTTACACAAAGTGATTAATCGAAAATTGTTATTTGAAACAAGCGTGGTTCGAAACGGTGTATCAAGTTCCAATACAGTGATCTTAACTGCCATATTTTTGAATAACGCTTGAAAATCACTTACGCGTATAATAATTACAATATTTTTAATTAACGAAATATCATGGATACCATATATCTTGCTCGATTCGTAATTTTCGATAACGATTAATCGTAGAAATACCGTTTCTACGTATATTTTTTTTGGAACATATAAAACATGAGCACGATGGCTAAGCTCGAGTCGCATCGCTGAGGATCACAAAAAACACATTTACAATTTGCTTGATAGATTACAGGAGCGAAAAAGTGACATTAAACACAGACACTTTAAACTTGCTGTTTGTACTACAATGATTATGACGAATTGGAAAGTCTGCCATTCACTTAACTAAACGCCCATAACACGATATATTATGCAAGGGACATTTATCTTTTCAAGTAACATGGTAGCACGTAAAAAAGTTGGATTTTTATCAATGTCAAGCGATTACGAGGAAAGGACGCGCGAGCCCTTCGCGGCGATAAAAGTGAGCGAAGCTTACAGACTTTTAAGCTTCTCCTAATATTGTACAGATTTTTGTAAAAGTTAATAGCGATATCGGCCAAACTCGAACAAACTCGAACGCCAGGTATGCCCCGATACGCTTGACACCGATGTCAATGACATAAAATCGAGTTATTGACAATTTTTACAATGAATATGATGTGTACATATATAAGAAGTATGCGCAGATAAATCCCCTCTTTTCGTAGTTTCATAATCCCTGTCTGTACATCATTTAAACATCATTCCTGTTCAAAATAAATACATAATTTACATAACAATTCCTTGTAAGTCATAAAGCTCATAAAATAGTACGAATATATCTCTTCGACTTGGATTCCACATAAATATTGTTGCTCTAGAGGATATCATGCTTGTGGGAAATTGCGATTTATTTGTTGTCGCGTCTTACAACGGGAACTTACGTAAAGGGGGAGAGGGTTGGGCGGGGCGGGGGAGGGAGGGGGGCTACCCGTATTATTAGTATACTTTATAAACTACATTACAATTCTAAACCACACCGACACCAGCAGCTGGTATCAGAACGCAGGAGCGTGAATAACTCGTTAATGTATTTGGGAAATAGCACACGATTTGCAAATAGATGTACAATATGAATGAACGATGAACAATTCACAAAGAGATAAAAGGTGATTTCCTTAATCGGTAATACCGATCACTGAGATGTTCGGAATTCTTATTTACAGTATCAGCCTTATATATACTTGTACATAGGGAAATGGAACTAAAATGATATATAGATCTATTATTCATTGGTGTTGAATATGTCAATAATGATCGCGCGTCTATAATCTTTTCACGCGCATAATTCCATCCTGTATATTTTAACATTTTTTTTTTTTACATTGAATCGCAGATTCATTCGCTTGATTATGCTTATTCATGTTTTTTGTCAACAGTAGCTTAAAATGTTATCGATCCATGCACATTTATTATATGATAATAAATTGCACATCAACCAATCGCGAAAATTATTATGCTACTCATCGATAGATACTAACGCTTAACTATTAGTAATAAAGTAATATAAAGTAACATAATATTGGGTGGATAACGAGGCCAGTAAAGTCTAAAAATATGCCATAACAGAACGATTACAAACATGAAATATAACATTTCCTTTACGCGCACGGTGGAACCGATGATGTAGATTTCACGGTTAAAAAAGGTTGACAATTTTGTTCACCGTAATATTTCGCGAGAAAGTAAAAGATTTGTAAAAAATAACAAAGTAACGTGTAAAATGCTCAGAAGTGCATGTTTCTGTCATAAATAGTGCATATGTAGTTACGTACATAGAAATAAGCAGTCCCGCACCACTTTTTAAGATCGAGTGTTTTTTTTTTTTATCGGAAAAGAATTAATAATACGACGTATGATTCGAGACATTTAAGGTCGATCTTTTATTGTTATCGTACTCATGTAACAATAATAAAAACTAGGTACGATCACGTATCTAATAATTTTTCTTACTACCTTCTCTCGTAAAAGCATATATTTTATTTCAAAACAGAAACTTTGTACTGTCATTTCACTTTTACTAGCAAGATTCGAATTTGAGTCTGGTAGTGTTCTATTCTCTCTTTTCTCGTAATTGGCATCCAACGACCAATGGAGTTTAAACAGAACTGGTGCTGTGTTTGTTGCGCGCTGTAGCTGCCCGTCGTCTTCTCTTAATTTTAGGCGAGGTTTATGGTAGGGCAAAAATTCAAAATGAAAGATGGCGGCTGGCTGCTGCAGCGCGTAACAATATCCATCCGATATATATGCTTGTATACCGTGGTCTATTCGACATGGAAATAGTTTTCGCTCTTGGCCAATTAATGACAGAGTAAAACGGTCCTGAATAGCGCGGCCATTTAAAATCGAGTCCACACTATCTACAAGTCTGCTATCATAAAATCTTTAAATTTCGCAACATTGGACCTTTGTAAATGTAAAACGCACGCGCGCATGACTTACAGTACGATTTACGTACGCGGCTCATGCAGTCACCGAAATTATATAATCGTTCATATTTCCAGCAAACACGAGGGGCTAGGTATGTACAACGTCCATAATTCGGATTTTACAGTCTATGTCTGTACAACATACAGAGTTTACCTGTTTGCACGCGACATTATTCTTCTCTTCCCAACACAAAGTCTCGGGACAAACACTGTTACGTCTTGACAAGCTGTAGAATAATGCAGGTCGATGTTGTTACAACATTTGTCGATTGTCAAATGTAACTACCAGTCGTTACGTTTTATTTTTTTTCCACTTTACCATTTTATCACTGGTATTTGAGAAGGAATGAGTTACGACAGATCTCACTGGAACATTCAACGTGCGGTTGCACTTTACCAATTCCAAGAGTACTTTTATTTTTTTTAACTTTCATCGCTTCGCGTGCTTTTGGATATTTTACACGCCAATATTGTGCTTTATGTTAATTTGTATGTTATGGTGATCTTGCTGCAGCGTCTCAAGAATTTGTTTTTGTATATCGTGCTCTGCCTAAAATACAAAGTATAAAGATAGTTTTATCAAATAAAAGATTGCTCGTTTCAATTGTTATTACCTGTAACGGTGTTAAGCTTCCTCTTTTCGCTTGTAAGGCTGGATTTTTCAGGTCTCGCGCCAAAACGTTCAGCTGCGATTCTTGCAACGCCATGCTGTTCTTAAGTTGTAGATGCGTTCTCCTTATTTCTTTATTGATTGCCTGTTGTTAAGAAGACCAAGAATAATTTTTTTCTCATTGTACCATGTTCAACGAACACTTAATGTTGTACACTTACATTATGATCCGGTAGTTGTTGAACTTTCGCATCGTTAAAGGTATCTAAAAATATCAGAGTAGAAAAGAATGTGAAAATTCACTCTAATATATGTATATTAATGTATGTACCTATGTACTTACTTTCAAAAATCATTTTCACTATTAGATCTGTAACAGTCACAATAAAATTCTTATTAGAATACGGGTATAACGCGTCCAAGGGTCCAATTTTTAAGCAAGAAACGTATAGAATTGAAATAATTCTGAGTAACTAAGTAATGAGTTTAGTACCTGAATCATTGAATTTTTCGTCCACCGGGTTTGGAGGTAGAAGCGGCAAGCTGGAATCCACTTCCTGATAGTCGATGGTAAGTTCGTCCAGGGTGGAATTGGGCGACTCAGCGACCCTCAGAAGCTGAGAATTCATATTGTATTGGCTGTAGTTCGAGCCGAGATCCGGGAATTCGTCCGTAACGAACGACCTGCAGTCAACGTACGGGACGCTCTGCTCTTCGTCAGAAACGTGTCTCTTTTTATTGCAAGATGTCCTAAGATCTTCGTCGCTGTATATCCTCTTCAATGGATACTGATGGCTCGATCTGGAATCGGAGATGACGCTCTCGTCGACCACGCTGGCCTCCGGGTACTCTATCAACGGTTCCGTTTCGTGCTCGAAAACGTTCGCGTTGTGCTCAACTTTGATGTCGCAGGATATATCGTCGCACAACGAGTGCGTGCTCGATACGCTTATAATAGATTCATCGATCGCTACGCCCGGATTCAAAGTGTCTATACTCAGAGGATCGTCCAACCGAGACGTTGCAGGCTCTACGGACAAATCGCTCGTGGTGATTATGCTACCGACTTGTCCAGAAACCGTTTTATCGTCCTTGCTTTGCACGTTATCGTGTGCACTGTGGGATTGATTGATCGGTAACGATTTACCCGAGGGTTTACAATTCTCATGGACTTCGGTCAGATGGACTGTTTTCGAGTCCTGTTTTGGCGTTCGATTCCCCTTGCCCTGCACCACCAAGTAATGATCGATCTTCTTGATACCGATTTTGCTGGCCTGCGTGGCTGCCGGGGGCAAATGTTGCGACACTATGGCGGCCTTCACGAACTGCTCGTCCGGCACAGGTGATCCTGTCAGACGGTTTTCCGACACCGACGACGACAAATCGCTAACCAAATGCGTGATCGCGTCCTCCACCTGCGAAGGATCCCCCACGCTGCTCTTCGAGTTCGATTGTTGCGAGTCCGTACCCTGCAAAAGACGTTTCACGTACAGTTTTCATCTCGATACGATCGAGTCTACAGGGCATTGTACGGAACTAGAATGCCTCTGTTGCGTGAACCTTGATCAACCCGTTCTAATTCCGTGGACCACCCTGTTCGGTAATTCATGTTCCAAATACCAAGTCAAACGACACGTCTTCCTTGTTCTGGATCATCGCCATCGTAGTTTCGGACACCACCGCCGAGAATCTTTTCTTCATTTGCTTCACGAGCTGAACACCTTCCTCCTCCCTGACGTGACAAATAATTTTCATTTTCATTCCGTATCGACTCAACCCTCCGCAACCCAAATTGTATTCTTGATCCTCGAATTATTGATATTTTACGTTAGCAAGAAAAATACTGTCAACAGGAATCGGTCAACGATCAAAAATACCGCAAGGATGTCGCATCGGGTTGTCGTGACGTTGTATAATTTATGTATATTGCAAAACTTACGACACTAATGTGTTTATGCACACAAAAGATTCAACAGTTTGCGTGTCCTTATCGAACTCTAAATAGCCGTGCGTACGTAAATAAATAAAGTCACCCGATTTCGAGAGCAGCCTGTAACACGATGATCCGCAGGTCTCCGCACGATCGTACACTGCGAACGATTAAACGTTGATACCAATGCTGGCTGGAATTAATCAAACAGTGGAAAAGAAACCGAATGCAAACTCACTCTGACGAAGCGCGATCACCGTCCACCTGAAATCGTCCTTGTGCATGAAACTGAAGGCGCTCAAACCTGAGACTTCCTCCGATAAGTAACCGGCCACCACGGACACCCTGTGGTCGCAGTAAATGATTCTGCCGTCCACCAAGTGCCGGGTGACGTACTCGTCTTTGTTCGCGTCCATTAGCGATATTTCGGTGATTGGACGCTTCATCAGCAACCGCGCTCTACCCACGAAAATTATGTCGTTGCTGGTCGAGCCGACTTCTACAAAATAACATCGAATTCGTTTAACATCGCGCCACCGGTGTATCTTGTTCGACAATTTTAAAATTAACGCGTTCACTGTCCGGGTCTCTTAACGGCGTATCCAAACGCGTGGCGACATGACCCGTACACGGGTCACGGACAGTGAACGTGTTAACATAAAACATCGAAAGATTTCTCTTCGCGAGATTACACAGGCTGCTCGAAGGTAGCCATTTTCACCTCGGTATTGCGTTCGACCGCCGTTCAATTCCGAATTCCTACAAGTGTCCGCGAGCCTGAGCATCCCCGAGATCTCGACGCACTCGTATTGGGGATGTTCTCGCCTCGAGGCGGTACGGTGCAGCATTCTCAGCTGAAAACACCGCCTCTGCTCGCGAAAGGGTCTACCCTCGTTCCTGAGGGTCGTCGACGAGTCCTCCGAGGAGCTGGAATTGTCGTTCGCCGCGTCCGTGATCTGTGCCCGCGACGTGGACGACGTCACGACCACACCCTGCATCTCGTCCGGGACTAGATTCTTCGTGAGCTCCTCGTGATCGTTTGGATGGACGAAATTGTACAGAGAGTGGCTCAACAGGTCCGCCTGCAAACGCCATTCGCGCGAGAACGAAACTCTCTCGATTAATTGGTCGACCTTTGCTTTCACAGCAAAGTCTTACGTTACGCGGAGTTTTCTGGGCCTTGGTACATTTATCACAAAATACAGTCTACAGACTAGTTTTCAAGGACATTGTCACAGTGCTTGGCAATCAAATAGAATATCGTCGCAACGCCCGCAATTTATATTATTAACACGTGTGCAATTACTGCACTTTATAATTAAGGGAAGAAACGTGGAAGTAAACAAGGACATCGGTATTGCTATTAAAGTCCCGCGTAACAATTGTTTTTACGGTAGTTCCGTTCGCGTAAGGTGTTTTTCTTTCGAAAACTACGTAACTCACGACGATACGCTTCGGTCAAGCAGTGCACGACTGACCTTTGACAAACGATTATGCAGTTATTTTCTTCAAGGATGTTTATCTAAGGTGACGCGCCATGTGTCATCGTAGACACACATTTCCATTATCAGGTTGGAAGCGAACGATTTCCCAACGTATTCATCCGACAGAGTTGATTGGCACTGAGAACGGTACTGGATCTTTCTGGCCAAACGAGAACTACGAAGTACGATCTGGTGCTCGTTTTATTTTTATGTACATTATACATGGAATACAATATCGTCTAAACGTAACGCGAGAAGTACAATTTTAACGTGGCCCAGCAAGAAGAAGATCAATGGCGACGAGTCGCTGAGATCTTGGTGACCAGATGACAGCTGCATTTATCGACATAATCTTATCGTTGAACTTCGATCTCAATAAAGCGATAGTTTCAATAGAAGCGTGGCATGTTGCACCATCGCGGACGAATAAAAACCACGCAATTCGCCTAGCAAAAGATGGCCAACGCTCTTCGACTGTTAGCAGGGCCCAGGACGAAACTGTTCTGTCCTTTTCTTTCCTTTCGCTTCCTCCAGGCAACAAGTAGAGCCTTACAAAACAATCGACGATCTCCAAAGCTGGCGACTCGATGGGAAAAGGACGACCAAAGCCACCCCCACGGGCACTGTCTGGCGACTCCAACGAAAAGCAGAAAGAGTGTCCGTGTTCTATCGATCCAGGTTGTTCCGCAGGAACCGCGGCGCTCCAGATTCGAGCGTAACGATAATTCGACACTCGAGCGTAACGAACCCGGCTCGTTCGGCCGAGTTTTCCCGACTCCGGGTTCTAAGGACACCGTCGGACGGTGGGACGGACAGAGAAGGAGATATTCGGGAGAACGGAGGTTGTTTGCGCCGGGATCCTCCAGATAAGGAGATACTCGCAATCAGCCGGTATTGTTCTCAAGGAGAAACTTCCCGCGGCGAAAACGAGCCTCCGTCGCCGACGTGGTGCACCGTGGCCGCGATTAAATCCCGACAGGGCTCCGGGGATGCAGAAAAGGAAACCGGAGGAACGTGGACGGCGGTGTGTGTTTCGTCTGGCGCGTACAACCTGCACATTCCCCCGGCCAATTGAACGCCTTAACCCCGTTCGAGCGAGGGTCTGTCGACGCGTTAGCCCTCCCGAGTATTTAAATCTCCATACTCGGAGATCTTACAGGCGTGGGAGTGGCGGAATCGATCTTCTCGAGCCGCGTAACCTGTGTATCGTTTCCTTTGACCGCGCGAGGCGGAAGACGTCGGATCATATCCACTCCATCGAAGATTTCAGTCGCTTAACTCGGGGAAGGTGCAAAAGGAAGCATTTCCGACCATTGGCATTTTGTTAAGCGTGATGAGATAAGAACAAATTTCCATATAAGAACGTTTCCTTTGGCGTGTTTAAGACCTGGTTCCAGCGCTCGCCGGCAGAGGGCTACGCTCTCTCGCAACTGCTCAGCGATGACTTCTCTTCTTTAATTTTCTTTCCTCTTACTCACTTCCTCCGTGTTTTAATTAAAAGAGAAACAGTTAAATTCGCTGATGGATTCTAAGCTGTCGTAAAATATTTTCATTTTTTCTTACGATATTTCGTTTCTGGAGTAATCGAGTCTGTCCAATGCTCTATTACAATGTTAATCTTCGTCCTCTTGCCCAGTAGATTTTCGAAACTTCTTGATAACGTGATCGTACAAAAATAATTGTAATATTATCAATTTTTTTTTTTTTCTCTGTTTAAACCGCACGTCCACTGCGCGGCGTCGTTATTCTCCTAAATCCTGTGTATTCTGCTCGGTATATAATCCGGCCTGCAACACGTGTTGCAATCATTGCGATTGAAAACCGGGTTCCCATCACGTAGCTTGTTGTAGACATCGCGGAAACAAGAAACAAACGAGCAAAATGTGTCGAATAAAAGAGCGAAACGATGAACCCGACGAGCGATGGAGCATCGGTTTTGTATACGATGCAACGAACTCGAAATACTGGACGATTCGTAACTTTTTTTTCGCTCCAATAGCGAACGCTGTTTGCGGGAAACTGTTTCGCCGGGTGGAATATTAATTAAAAACTCGTACTGGATCGCACAAAATCTGTTTAGTTGTTCTTTGCGTGCTCGTAAATCAGGTTACAAGGGTTTAATATTGCCAGAGGTATTTTAATTAATTAAATAAATGTGACAATACGCGACGACGCCCATTAGCGCGCACTGATTGGCTGCGCCTCCATAGACCTCGATAACAACGAAAGAGTTCACTTTTAATTATAGTCCTTTGCAAAAAGACATCGATCAATGATCGCAATATTTATTACTACGTGTTAATTATAATAAAAAATATAAACATCGAGCCGCTGAACGAAATCGTAGTATATAACATAAATAACGCCGGGTCAAAGTTTAAAGTAAAAGACACGAAAAAAACGTAAATATTATCCGCGACGCTTCTTATCCTCCTCGAAGGCGAACAGTTTTTCATAACTCGCGATCGATAAAAACGATCGTTTGGACTTTTGTACGAAAAGAGGAAAAAAATGGAATTGTCGCCACGAACCTATAAGAATATTTTGTTCGAAATAATTGGAATAATTGTTTTGATACGACGAGGACGTTTCGACGAAGCAAACCTATCGATAGAATCTTGAATATTTAATTCCAATTCGACAGTGTATTAGAGCATCGCGTCCCGAATCAATTGATTATTGATACGTTTAATTATTTCGTGGCTCGAAACCACGGGGCTTTCATGCTGGCAAATTTGCGGGAATATTCGATAAAGTGGAAAAAGGATTGTGGATGCATAGGTGTTGCCATGGTCGCGTGTTTGCGTTACGCTCGTTTGATCGATAATTCCGAGCCCTTAGCGCGAGGTATGTTTGTTTCTCTGCACCCATCGGTTGCAACCGCGAGCGAATCGATAGGGTTTATCAATTCATTGGTATCGAGTTACCGATAACAGAACGACAGGTTCCATTGAGACGGATTGAAGATTCCAACCATAAACGTAACGAAAAGTTACGTTTACAACCGCGTGGAACGAACTTTATCGATGTTCGATCCTTCGTACTCCAAAAATTGGGTTCAATACCACTTGTTATATGGTAGAAGTTACGTTAACCCTTTGCACTCCGAATTATATTTAAATCTTGTTACCAGCTGCTCCCAATGCTTTTAAGTGTTTCATTTGAAATTTACGTTAATTAAAAAATATTGTATTTTGTAATTTTTAAGTGTATATCTCTTTGGTTTGGACTTGATGTCGAGTCACATTCGATATAGGAGTGCAGAGGGTTAAAATGCGGTTTTTCAATTTAAAATTGAAAATGATTTTCTTTGCCTGATCTGTACGATTCTGCGAATCTCGGTACCAGAGAAGAATGCACATTTACCTGAGAGTGGCCAAGGTGTTCCAGGACCTGCCGGCTAACATAGATGATCTTCCCCGTAGAGGTGACCACGAGAAAGAAGCCCCCGCTTTCGATCAAGTTCTGTTACGGTTAACAAAAACGATTTTAACGCGTTCGACATCGAACGATAACAGGACTGGATCGATCTACGAGTACTCACGGTGATAATGTACTGTTCCAAGTCCATTTTGGCGAGTTCTCGAGGTAGTAAGTTTGTTTTCCCAGGCCCGAGCGCTGCAACGGGAACGGACGAGCGAATGTTAATTACAAGGGACAAAGAAACCTTATCGATTCGTTCGAATATCGAACGAGCCATTTGTTGTTCGATTAATTGGGTCACGAATGCACCGTTCCAGGCCTCGGGATGTCAAGGCTACCAGCGTCGCGACTGGTAAAATTGTTTTACTGCGACTTTTACTGTCTATTTGGTATTTATTTTGATCAAATTCAATATGGCGAACGGAATATTCGAGAACCAACCGATTTCCAGGGCTTTCTCGTTTCAACTTACTGTAATGGGACCCAAGGTAGGCGACAGCCAGCCTCAAGATGGATATCTTGTCCAGCTTCTTCGGACTCTCGGCGACAGTGGGTACGAGCTTCCCCATAGCCATGATGTTTGTGTTGTGATTGTCGCGGCGCTGTTTCTCCGCCATGTTTCGCGCCGCTCTTGGATTGCTGCAACACAAACAAAAGCAACTGTTGCTGAAATTGTCAACAATATCGTAAATGTAAGATTTCATATTGGGGTGACTCGCATTGGTCATGCGTTCCTGCCGTTGCTACAACAGGACTATCTTGTTTTGCGACTGTGCACTGTCGGTTCTTCTAGTTACATCATTATGTGTTTACCTTTCTTTGCGCGACTGCGACATTTTTGGCCTTTATGTTATTAATAAATACACTTTTATTTTCCGGGCCTTCTAATTGAAACTGCCCCTCCAAACAGTAAACGACCTCGAAGCTGAGGCTAAGGGTTCGGTTACAGAATTTATTTCGAGCTCTGTTCGAGGATCGCCGTCATAACTCGCGCACTGAAAAACCGCCGGAGAACTTTGTTGCTCCCGTATCGAGTTTCGAACGATGGTTTTCAATGGCAACGGTGCAAAAACGGCCTCGAGAGTGCAATATCTTAGCGACGCATCTAAATTTCCTCGCGCGTGAGTCAACGGCGTCGTTTGACCACGAAAATAATTCCATCCGCGAGTTTCGCGGCCATGGACAAGGTTCCACCTTCTCTGGTCTTTCTCGTCGAAAATATTAACCCTTTGCACTCGAGGGCTACGCTATATGGAGACAATGCAAACAATTGGCGATTGCTTCGAGAGCTATCACACCTTGGACGATTACAAAATGTAATAATTTTATAATTTTTTGCTTTTTTATATATCACAACATTTGTATCCATAGCGATGACTTTTCTTTTAATACGCGTATCAGTTACTTATATGTAAATATGATCTTTTTTAATTTTGTCGAAAATTTCACACATTCTCGAATTTTTTTCTCGAAAATGGGTAGGATTTCGAGGATATGGCTGTTCATCAAAAATCATTGTAATTCACCCCTGCAACTAAAAATAATTTTTTTAAAAAGATTTGAAATTTTTTTTCGACGAACAATTATATTTTCAGTAATGAATTTTTTTCTCAAAGCCGAGCAAGATTTCGGGGTAGTGTCTATTGACCAAAAACGATTGCAATTGACCCCTACAGCGAAACATAATTTTTTCAGAGCGATTAGAAATATTTTAATTTCGCCGAAAAATTTGTCCACCTACATGAATTTTTTTCTCGAAAGTGCGTGGCATTTCGGGGTTATGTCTGTTCACCAAAAATGATTGTAATTCACCCCTGCAACTAAAAATAATTTTTTTATAACGATTTGAAATTTTTTAATTTTGTCAGAAATTTCACACTTTCTCGAATTTTTTTCTAGAAAGTGGGTAGGATTTCGGGGGTAGGTTTATTCACCAAAAATGATTGTAATTCACCCCTGCAACTAAAAATAATTTTTTTATAACGATTTGAAATTTTTTAATTTTGTCGAAAATTTCACAACTTCTCGAATTTTTTTCTCGAAAGTGGGTAGGATTTCGAGGATATGGTTGTCCACCAAAAATTATTGTAATTCACCCCCGGAACTGAAAATAATTTTTTTATAACGATTTGAAATTTTTTAATTTTGTCGAAAATTTCACACATTCTCGAATTTTTTTCTCGAAAGTGGGTAGGATTTCGAGGATATGGCTGTTCACTAAAGATTATTGTAATTCACCCTCGGAACCGAAAATAATTTTTTTAGACCGATTTGAAATTTTTTAATTTTGTCAGAAATTTCACACTTTCTCGAATTTTTTTCTCGAATCTTTTCGCTAAAATTGCTTCGAGAGGTATTACACCTTGGACCATTACAAAATGTATTGCTTTTTTATATATCATAACATTTGTATCCATAACGATGACTTTTCTTTTAATGCACATATCATTTACTTATATGTAAATACGATCTTTTCACTAAAATTGCTTCGAATTGCTGATGATGTAAATAAAAAAAAATGTCGAGTGCAAAGGTTTAATATTGGACCTGGATGACTGTAATGGTGGTCACCGGTGACCGGCACTTGAAACTCATAACATAGCAAATAACTTCTCTGCGTTTCATAATTTGAACAAACGTGGACACATTTGCGCGCGGAAAACCACAGTCAACGTATTTCAAATAATATTGCAACCGCGATGTGCTCGTTTCGGTTAATTTCCAGTTGCTCCCACCTTGGTTAAATTTCTGGATGCGCCAGCCGCGAGAGGAGGCTCGTATTCCTCACACGTATGTGCATTTTCGTGTAACGGAGCGGTGGCAGTGACGGTATGAAATCCGAGTATGGGAATCCTCGTTTTTAACGTTTCGATGAGGACGTGTTAAATATCGTGGAAAGTATATTTCTAAATCAATCGTAATTGCGTATATTTTCTCGTATTAATTTCGATAAAATCGACCGAACAACATCCATCGGAAGATGTCGTAACAATTTTCGCAACGGAAATGCAAATTTTTCGCATAACAGTTGCTTCGCTAGCTCGAGTACACAATTTAATTAATTCCTCGACCTTGTTTACGTTACGTTCTTTAGTTTTTACTTTACGCTGCATACCGGGTGCCTGAAAACTTACCAAGCAAACTTTGGCAACCGGCGCTCTAAGGCTACAAGTAACATGTAAAGCAACGTTTCGTTACCGATGAGAGGAGATGAGAGGACTGTGGTGACTGGTAAAAAAAAAAGGCATTAATTATTACGAGGAGCCATCTTTTTACCATAAAGTGGCCAACGCGCGAAACTTCCGCTTTAAAGTGATATATTTGTCATGTGCCAGACCGAACCTTGGTTACTAGAGAAGTGCTCCTCACTCTGTTCCGATTTCCAGGCATCTGTGCGACGAACGACCTTGCTTTTTCAGTCGCGTAAACGCGTTGCGATCAAAAATCAAACATTACGTAAGCGTTCGACATTGGATCTTCACCAGCGCTCGATGCATTCGATTTTACACAGAGACTTCGACAACAGGTGTCAGAATCTTCAGAACGAGTCCACGAAAACGCTGTAACCTAATTCATTAATTCAGTTTCTTTAAGTTAAGTTTCTATCGTCTTATTTTCCGAAGATGTTCACCGGAAACGTTGATAAATATCCTTTAGCTCGATAAGACTGCAGAGTTTCCTACCACGAATTAAGATCTAGCGTGTAATTTACTGTTGTTTATCCGGGAACACGCACTCACGAAGCGCTGGAAAGCAGGAAACGATGAAACGAACCATAAATCCATAATGTTTGATATCTCCGTTCAGACACACGCCGTTATTTACGCGTAACTATAATCTACGCTCGGGGTATTATTAGAACCAGTCGTTGTAGTGCAGCTTCGACTGCAATTACAGAGACGCTATAAAAAGATGCAATTACATTGCTCGAATTTGATAACGAACGCAAAGGAATTTAATTCTCGTTCTCACGAAAACAATCGTTCCCCTAATTTTAAGAAAAAAGGGGGCATTTTTTTGGAAACTAGGGGTTTCATACTATCTTTTATACTGCAAATTTTATACTCGATATAATGGTAAAACTTGGAAGGGGTCCGACAAGACTATTATCGTAGGCCATCTTCCAATTATTTTGGTCGCTGTTAGGGAATGTTTTCAAAACACGTAGGCGACAATAAACAACCAACACTTTGGTCAGACATCTGGTAGTTGTGCATACCTGGCTCGGTGCCTGACTTGGCAGTCGCTGACGATAATATTTTCGTTCTTAAAACTCATTCGTATCATAGCCACGAAATTCACCGTCAGGTAATCGTCGCGAACTATTCACATACCCGCTATGCGTATTTACGGTAGTTACAAACGCGACTGCGGATGCACAAAGTTCTCCAATCGAATAAATTTACCAACAGAATGGAGGCCATACAGTACGCGTTAAATTATCGATGCATAAAACGCTCGAATATGGTTATTTCTGTACAAAATGAGTCGCGTAACGTGTCGCGAATAATTTCTAAAGCGTGAGTTTTAGGAACAAGGAGCGTTTTATGTAAAAATTATGCGGTATACTGTGACAAATTTTGGTCTTGTTCGTTTTCGTTAGCGGGACGATGCAAAGTGAGGGGGAGGACGATGGTTTTGAAAATCACCGCGCGAGGGTTATCCGGTGTTACACAATACCGAAATGACTTTGGCCAATTATCCCGGCGGCGGCCTTGGGACGGCGTTATCGCCGCGATAACGCCAGCTGAAACTCCGCTTTAATGTTTTGATACAGTTAGAACCGGAGCCCATGGGGAAGCGGTCTCGAGAGGCTTGACAAAATAGGATAAGAGGCCTGTGATAATCCGATTCGACGATACAACCTTCGCGGGGGCACGAGATTCCAATGGACCCAACCATTTGCATTTCTTAACACTCAACGTGACAATCACTCTTTTTTCTGTGTATTTTCTATTTTTGCAAAGCAGAAAATCGCTCCGAAGAGATCGTTTTCGATGCACACGAGAGAGGGACGGTGATAAAACGAGCTTGAAAATCGATTCGAACGGCATCGCCTTTCGTTATCGGTAATTAATTACGCCACTAGGAAAGGATACCTTTTTTTACGCAACGAGAACGAGCGTGGCTCGTTTGGCTTAGATCGTTCTTAGCTTTTTACACCCCGTATCTGGCGCCCAGACGACGAGGAACAAAACACTTCAAAGCCGGAAAAGAAACTGCGAAAGGGTCCGTCACAAAGGAATCTATTACAGGGCGCTGTCTCTTGGTGATCGTTCTTTCTTTTCACCGTTCGAGCTAATTTAACGAGTTCGAAGCATGTAATCACAGAAAAGGTATACGAATAGACCTTACATAAGATGTATTTTTTCAGCTCATTTTTCTGAGGCTCGGCAGCCCCATTACCATTTTCGCGTATTGGCCACGCATCATATTTCCGGTAACGAATTTTTTTCTCGAAAGTGCGTAGGATTTCAGGGGTATATCTATTCACTAGAAATGATTGCAATTTACCCCTGCAGTGAAAAATAATTTTTTCGGAACGATTGGAAATATTTCAATTTCGACGAAAAATTTGTCCGCCTGCATGAATTTTTTTCTCGAAAGTGCGTGGGATTTCGGGGTTATGTCTATTCACC